TATTTGAGCTGAGAACATGTGAGACATTTCCTCTCGGCACATTTTAAATCCAACCTGACCTTTATTGAAAGAAACATCATTTTTAAAGGGGCTGCTGACTGATGAAACTCACCCTCTTCCAGGTGAGGACAGGTGTGGGAACGCCCACCGCCTCACAGCTCAGGTACACCTGAGAGCCGCTCACATTGTAGACCTCACCTGGTGGAGTGACGATGACCGGAGCTGCAGACAGCCAGACAGACAGTTCAGTGACTGTTAAATCAATGATAATTAACATGAAGTTTGGTTGCAGAGAAGTTTCCACATCAGCCTGACACAGGATAGAGACAATTAGACTGACAGATGGGTGGAAACAGACAGACAGACAGACAGGTGGAGACAGTTCAGGGACAGAGTTAAATGAAAGATAATTAACATTGAGTTTGGTGGGCTGAAGTTTCAGGCACAAACAGGATGAAACAGGTCGCAGGAATCCGACAGACAGTAAATCCTCTGTGACCTCAGAGGAATTCAGTTTGCTCTGAGCGCGCTCAGTGCAGCTCTTCATGTAGAAAGGAATTCAGTGTTTTCAGAGGGATGAAGGTGGATTATCATCATCACTCACTGTCTGTTACTGTCAGAGGTTCAGGCTGCAACATGTTCAACTTCACATTCATCCATTAATACAGAAAATCTAATCAATATAATAATGATCTTAATCAATATAATAATGATCTTAATGTTTGATATTTATTTTGTGTCTACAGAAGTCAAATAAATGTTATTAATTATTTATAGAGAGGGACACACTACTTTAAGTCATTTAGATATTATATTAATGATTAACTTAAAGTCACTTATAATTACATTTATAAACATGTATGTAGACATCTGTAGAGTTGATATCTGACTTATATATATGTATCTATCATACCATTTACGTGATATATATCAGTATATATATATGTGAAAATACTGAATATGAAACTGTATGTAAACCAGTATGAATATTACTTCCATCAAAAACATCAATCATCAATCAATTAGGAATCATTGATTTGCTGATTTGATCCTTTGGTGCTGATGGATTACGTAAAGAGACACTAATCTGCCCCTGCTTTTATTCGTTTTACAGTATATATGTAGATATTAATAAATTACATATTATGTGTGTGTATAGACTCACTGTGTGTGTGTGTGTGTGTGTATAGACTTACTGTGTGTGTGTGTGTGTGTGTGTGTGTGTGTACACAGACTCACTGTGTGTATAGACTCACTGTGTGTGTGTGTGTGTGTGTGTGTGTACAGACTAACTGTGTGTGTGTGTGTGTGTGTGATAGACTTACTGTGTGTGTGTGTGTGTGTGTACACAGACTCACTGTGTGTATAGACTCACTGTGTGTGTGTGTGTGTGTGTGTGTATAGACTCACTGTGTGTGTGTGTGTGTGTGTGTGTGTGTATAGACTCACTGTGTGTGTGTGTGTGTGTGTGTGTACACAGACTCACTGTGTGTATAGACTCACTGTGTGTGTGTGTGTGTGTGTGTGTGTGTATAGACTCACTGTGTGTGTGTGTGTGTGTGTGTGTGTGTGTATAGACTCACTGTGTGTGTGTGTGTGTGTGTGTGTGTGTGTGTTGTGTGTATAGACTCACTGTGTGTGTACAGACTCACTGTGTGTGTGTGTGTATAGACTCACTGTGTGTGTGTGTGTGTGTGTATAGACTCACTGTGTGTGTGTGTGTGTGTGTACAGACTAACTGTGTGTGTGTGTGTGTGTGTATAGACTTACTGTGTGTGTGTGTGTGTGTGTGTGTGTGTACACAGACTCACTGTGTGTATAGACTCACTGTGTGTGTGTGTGTGTGTGTGTGTGTACAGACTCACTGTGTGTGTACAGACTCACTGTGTGTGTGTGTATAGAATCACTGTGTGTGTGTGTGTGTGTGTGTGTGTGTGTGTGTGTGTGTACAGACTCACCTGTGGCGCAGCGGCCCTTGTTCTGGACGTTGATGGGTTCTTTGCCCTGACTCTGGGCTGTAAGGCTGGCTCTCTTCAGTGCGCAGCCGCTCTTGTACGTCACTCCGTCGGTACCGCAGACGTCATAGTCGCTCTTACAGACGCACAGTCCCAGCTTGTTCTTCTTGTCCGCGTCGCTTTTGACGCACTCCAGTCCGGACCCGCAGCGGCGCGCTGCCGCGCGGCGGCCCCCGCACAGCTCCCCCCCCGCGGCGGCGCACACCGTGCAACAGCCGCACGAGTCCAACAGAGACCCGGCGGGGCAGCCCTCCGCCGGGAGAGAAGCGCACTGATCCGGGTCACACGGTCCGCAGCCAGGACCAGCAGAGACACGGACCCAAAGCAGCGACAGAACCGGAACCAGAGCCAGAAAGACGGTGAAGGACTTCATGATGATCTGATGAGATCTCTGATGGGAACTCTGCTGGTCTGAACTCTGTGACGGTCTAAACACTCTGAGATCTGGTCTTTAGACCGAGGCGGTTTAAAGCTGCTGACTCCGCCTCACAGGGACCAGGAACTGATCCCAGACCTGCTCCAGTCCAGACCCGCTCTAGTGTACAGAGGAACAACACTGACTGAATAATGTTCTAATAATAATGATAATAATAATAATAATATAGAAAGGCCCTCCGTAATGCCAGAGGAGCCTATTATTCAGCACTAATAGAAGAAAATAAGAACAACCCTAGGTTCCTCTTCAGCACTGTAACCAGGCTGACAGAGAGTCACAGCTCTATTGAGCCACATATCCCCATAAACTTAAGTAGCAATGACTTTATGAGCTTCTTCTATAATAAAATTATTACAATTAGAGAAAAAATTAATCACCAACTACCATCAACAGTTATCAGTGGCTCTCCAAGTTCAGGGACTTCTGCCAATGTAAACTTAGATGTATATTTAGACTGTTTTTCTGCTATCGATCTTCATCAGTTAACTTCAATAATTTCTTCATCAAAGCCATCAACCTGTCTATTAGACCCGATCCCAACTAGGCTGCTTAAAGAAGTTGTTCCCTTAATTGGCACTTCTTTACTGGATATGATTAATCTTTCTTTATTATCAGGATATGTACCACAGTCCTTTAAAGTAGCTGTAATTAAACCCCTTCTTAAAAAGCCCACTCTTGACCCAGGGGTTTTAGCCAACTATAGACCGATTTCTAACCTCCCCTTCCTCTCTAAGATTCTGGAGAAAGTAGTCGCCAAAGAGTTGTGTGACTTTCTACATAACAATAGTTTATTTGAGGATTTTCGGTCAGGATTTAGAGTTCATCATAGCACAGAGACAGCTCTGGTTAAAGTTAATAATGACCTTCTGATTGCTTCTGACAATGGACTTGTCTCTGTACTTGTATTATTAGATCTTAGAGCTGCATTTGACACCATTGACCATAATATTCTTTTACAGAGACTTGAGCATCAAATTGGCATTAAAGGAACCGCACTAAGCTGGTTTAAGTCATATTTATCAGATTGTTCGCAGTTTGTACATGTTAACGATGAATCTTCAATAAATACTACAGTTAGTCATGGAGTTCCACAAGGTTCTGTACTTGGACCAATACTGTTTACTTTATATATGCTCCCTTTAGGCAACATTATTAGGAATCACTCCATTAACGTTCACTGTTATGCAGATGATACGCAGTTATATCTATCAATCAAGCCCGATGAAATTAATCAATTATCTAAATTACAAACATGTCTTAAGGACATAAAATCCTGGATGACCTGCAATTTTCTGATGTTAAACTCAGAAAAAAAACGAAATTCTTGTACTTGGCCCCAAAAACCTTAGAGACTCACTGTCTAAAGATATAGTTACTCTAGATGGTATTACCTTGGCCTCTAGCACCACTGTCAGGAATCTTGGAGTTATCTTTGATCAGGATTTGTCATTTAATTCCCACATGAAGCAGACTTCTAGGACTGCCTTCTTTCATTTACGTAATATTAATAGACAAAAATAGACACATCCTATCACAGACAGATGCAGAAAAACTAATACATGCATTTGTTACTTTAAGGCTGGATTACTGCAACTCCTTAGTATCAGGTTGCCCCAATAAGTCCATTAAAACGCTCCAATTAATTCAGAACGCTGCAGCACGAGTACTGACAGGAACTAGAAAAAGAGATCACATCTCTCCTGTACTAGCTACTCTGCATTGGCTCCCTGTAAAATGTAGAATAGAATTTAAAATCCTCCTCCTCACCTATAAAGCTCTTCATGGTCAGGCCCCTTCATATCTTAAAGAGCTCATAGTACCCTAATACCCCACTAGAACACTACATTCTCTGAATGCTGGGCTACTTGTGGTTCCTATAGTCTCTAAAAGTAGAACAGGAGCCAGAGCCTTCAGTTACCAAGCTCCTCTCCTGTGGAACCAGCTTCCAGTTGTGGTTCGGGAGGCAGACACCCTCACCACATTCAAGAGTAGGCTTAAGACGTTCCTCTTTGATAAAGCTTATAGTTAGGGCTGGATCAGGTGAGTCCTGAACCATCCCTTAGTTATGCTGCTATAGGCCTAGACTATCGGGGGATTTCCCATGGTGCACTGAGCTCCTCTCTTCCTCTCTCTTTCTGCACTCATTCATGTCCCATTAATGCATGTTACTAACTTCACTTCTTCCCCGGAGTTCTTGTGCTTTCTCGTCTCGCAGGTTCTTATCGATCCTGGTGGAGCCTCCTGCCATGGTCCTGCTTGACTTCCATTGCTAATATTACTGATATTAGTGTTATTATTATTTTTAATATTATTATTACTACAGCTACTATTATTACTATTGTCACTGCTCATTGTCCCCCATCCTCTGACTGTTGTCATCGTTGTCGTCATCAGTCATTTCTATTAGTATAGCTGTTGTTGTGCACCTTTGTCTCTCTCTCTATCTCTCTCCCACCTAAAGTCGGGGTCTGTCAGAGGTTTCTGCCTCTTAAAAGGAAGTTTTTCTTTGCCTTGTTAATATTGTAATAAAACAATAATATTAATAAGAGTTAAAGACAAAAACATTTTTATTTTCACTTTTATGACATTAACAAGCTTTTGTACATTTAATCTGTGACAGTTTGAATATCAGTTATTGATATGTATTGATTAATAACTGATTACTATCAGCTTTAGTACAGACCAGTACAGAATACTACAGACCATTGTCGGCTGCTCGGTGGGAAACTGACAAACAGGAAATACTCAGAGGTCAGAGGTCACTGTGACTCTTCCTGTTATTGTTTTTGTATTATATACACACACACACACACACACACACACACAGTTTATCTGTAACACATTATGATTATTATGATTATTATAATTATTATAATTATTATTATTAATGTTCAGACACAAACTGATGGATATTCAATCAGGACACAGACGCCTCATATCAACATGTTTTAATAATAAACAGATCAATCAATCACTGGATCAATACAACCTGTGTCTGCTGCATTTTAACAGATGTTTATTTATGTTCTTCATCATCATCTTTCACACTGAGTGTACTCACACCGTTAAACTGTGTGTAGATTTATATTTATGTACAGACAGTATCTATAAACATAAATACATACACTCTATACTGATACACATTTTAATGAATCAATAACCACTCTGACAACCTTCACCAACAAGGCAGACTGTAGCCTGACAGTCAAAACCCAGGGCATCAAAAGTCGAGCTACCTCTCGTTAGTAACTGAAGGAGCTGATCAATATTATTGATCAGAAACAGTCTCTTCTCACTAGTCCAGTATCTGAGTGCAGTACTCTGAGCAGGACTCTGAGTATTTACTTGCAGTATTTGGTGATGATCGCAGATAGCAGGTCTCTGTACGGAGAATCTGATCTCTGAGTTCGGAGTTTGAGGAGTTTGTGGATCGCAGGAGAACGAAGGAGGAGGTTGTGACTGAATCCCACCAGACTGGAGATAAACCAGTACAGAGCCATGGACTGGGAGGGGGAGGAGGAGGGGAGGGGGGAGGAGACAAACTGGAGTTAGTGAAACTGCAAACATCCCTTAAATTTCTAAATAAAACTCAGTGTTCAGAAGAATGGGTCATTATATAAAAGGTTCTAACATTCATTAAACCATTATTATTATTTATTATCTATCAGATAATCAGCAGATTGATTGATAACCTGCAGTAATACAACAGGATGTTATTAGACCAGAATCTGGAACTCAGGTCCTGGTTTAGGTCTCAGTGACTTTAAAGATCCTGCTGGAGGAAAATGTTTTCAGAGCTTCCTGGTCTAGATAAAACCTGTCTGAGTTTGATCTGATGAAGGAGGAATGTCTGACAGATCTCAACAAGTGCAGACTGATGCTGGTCTAGACTCCCAATGAAAACCCTGAAGCTGGTCTACAGAGACTCACAGAGGGGACCGTGGCGGCAATGGGGACCATCAGGACGGAAAATCCTCTGATGACGTTGGTCACGATCCTCTGGAAACGAGATGGATTGACTCTCTGTAGAGAAAACACCTGAAGAAAAAGGGGGAGAGGGGTTAGATGACATCATCAGGTCAGGTGATCTCACCCTGCTGAGTGGACTGACCTCGAGGATGAGCAGGTTGGTGAGTCCCAGACAGACTGGCAGGATCCAGGTGGAGTCCGGTACGGTGAGGTCAGGGATCCACAGAGTGCCCCCCTGCAACCAGGCCGGACTGCTGCGCTGCAATAACACAGTGGTTAAAGTCCTGGTCCAGGACTGATCCAGGTCACTGCAAGTCCTGAAACTGTATATAAATTATATAAACGGTATTTTAACTATATAAACTGTATATAAACTACATAAACTGTATGTTAACTATATATAAACTGTATATAAATATATAAACGGTATATAAACTATATAAACTGTATATAAATATATAAACTGTATATGAACTGTATCAACTACATAAACTGTATATAAACCATATAAACTGTATATTAACTATATATAAACTGCATATAAATATTTTAACTGCATATAAACTATATAAACTGTATATAAATATATAAACTGTATATAAAATATAAACTGTATGTTAACTATATAAACTGTATATAAATACATAAACTGTATATAAACTATATAAACTGTATAAACTATATAAACTGTATATTAACTGTATATAAACTATATAAACTGTATGTTAACTATATAAACTGTATATAAATATATAAACTGTATATAAACTGTATATTAACTATATAAACTGTATATGAACTATATAAACTTTATGTTAACTATATAAACTGTATATAAACTGTATATTAACTGTATAAACTATATAAACTGTATAAACTGTATATAAACTATATAAACTGTATATAAACTATATAAACTTTATGTTAACTATATAAACTGTATATAAACATATAAACTGTATATTAACTGTATAAACTATATAAACTGTATAAACTGTATATAAACTATATAAACTGTATGTTAACTATATATAAACTGTATATAAACTATATAAACTGTATATAAACTATATAAACTGTATATAAACTATATAAACAGTATGTTAACTATATAAACTGTATATAAATATATAAACTGTATATTAACTATATAAACTGTATATTAACTGTATATAAACTATATAAACTGTATGTTAACTATATAAACTGTATATTAACTATATATAAACTGTATGTTCACTGTATATAAACAATATAACCTGTATATAAACTATATAAACTGTATGTTAACTGTAAACTATATATAAACTGTATAGTAGTACAGTTGTTGCTGTGCACCTGTCTGTCTGTCTGTCTGTCTGTCGCTCTCTCTCTCTCTCTCTCTCTCTCTCTCTCTCTCTCTCTCTCTCACCCCAACTGGTCGAGACAGACGACCACCCACCTAGAGCCGGAGGATCTGTCCTAGGTTTCTGCCTTTTAACAGGCAGTTTTTCCTTGCCCTTGTCGCCAAGTGCTTGCTCATGGTGGTACTGTTGGGTCTCTGTAATTAATGTTAAAGAGTTCGGTCTAGACCTGCTCTATTTGAAAAGTGTCCTGAGATAACTTCTGTTATGAATTGGCGCTATACAAATAAAATTGAATTGAAATTGAATTGAATAATATTAATATTAATAATAATAATAATAATAATAATAATTATAATTGAATACAGTTTCCTCCAAACGTCCGTCTGTCCATCTTAAATGGAAATAACTAAAATCAGATTCCATAGCACGCAGGAAACCTGAATCCAGGGTCAGCTTACCACACTGGTCCAGGCTCAGGTTTCTGAGGGCCAGAGAGAGGCTGATCCACAGGGGCAGCTGGACCCAGACCAGCAGACTGGCTTTGAAGGGGTGACAGTTGTCTCTGATGTAGAGCTGAGAAACAATACGACGCAGATTCTTCTGGAACTGGAACCTGTAGAGGGCGCAGACCAGGTTTCATAAGGAACACACAGACTAGGTTTCATAAGGAACACACAGGCCAGGTTTCATAAGGGACACACAGGCCAGGTTTCATAGGGGACACACAGACCAGGTTTTTTTTTGTATTGTATTGTATTACTTTATTAATCCCACAATGGGGAAATTTGCTTGTCACAGCAGCAATAACTTGAAATAAATGAATAAATACAGATATAAAAAACTATGATAAAAACTAAACTATGGTATGGTGGTAATTTGAAAAAAAAAAAAAACAGAAACTATGGTATGGTGGTAATTTCTAAAAAAACAGAAACTACAACATTGATCAGGTGTTGTAGAGTCTGACAGTGGCAGGGATGAAAGACCTTCGGAACCTCTCCTTCTTACACCGTGGGTGTAACAGTCTGCTGAAGGAGCTACTCAGGGACCCCACAGTGTCATGTAGGGGGTGAGAGGTGTTGTCCATGATGCAAGTCAGCTTCACTAACATCCTCCTTTCACCCACTTCCTCAATGGAGTCCAGAGGACAGTCAAGGACAGAGCTCGCTCTCCTGATCAGTTTATTGAGTCTCTTCCTGTCCCTGTCCGTACTGCCCCCTCTCCAGCAGACCACAGCATAGAAGATGGCTGAAGCCACCACAGAGTCATAAAAAGTCTTAAGGACAGCCCTGCTTACTCCGAAGGACCTCAGTCTCCTCAGCAGGTGGAGGCCCACAATCTGGCCCTTCTTGTAGAGAGCATGGGTGTTGTCAGTCCAGTCCAGTTTTTTATTGAGGTGAACACCCAGGAATTTATAATTATCTACCACCTCGATGTCCAATCCCTGGATGTTCACCGGGGTGAAGTGGGATGTTTTCCTCCTGAAGTTAACGATCATCTCTTTACTTTATATATGCTCCCTTTAGGCAACATTACTAGGAATCACTCCATTAACTTTCACTGTTATGCAGATGATACGCAGTTATATCTATCAATCAAGCCCGATGAAATTAATCAATTATCTAAATTACAAACATGTCTTAAGGACATAAAATCCTGGATGACCTGCAATTTTCTGATGTTAAACTAAACTAAAACCGAAATTCTTGTTCTTGGCCCCAAAAACCTTAGAGACTCACTGTCTAAAGATATAGTTACTCTAGATGGCATTAACTTGGCCTCTAGCACCACTGTCAGGAATCTTGGAGTTATCTTTGATCAGGATTTGTCATTTAACTCCCACATAAAGCAGACCTCTAGGACTGCCTTCTTTCATTTACGTAATATTAGAAAAATTAGACACATACTATCACAGACAGATGCAGAAAAACTAATCCATGCATTTGTTACTTCAAGGCTGGATTACTGCAACTCTTTATTATCAGGTTGCCCCAATAAGTCCATTAAAACGCTCCAATTAATTCAGAACGCTGCAGCACGAGTACTGACAGGAACTAGAAAAAGAGATCACATCTCTCCTGTACTAGCTTCTCTGCATTGGCTCCCTGTAAAATGTAGAATAGAATCTAAAATCCTCCTCCTCACCTATAAAGCTCTTCATGGTCAGGCCCCTTCATATCTTAAAGAGCTCATAGTACCCTATTACCCCTCTAGAACAGTACGTTCTCTGAATGCTAGGCTACTTGTGGTTCCTATAGTCTCTAAAAGTAGAACAGGAGCCAGAGCCTTCAGTTACCAAGCTCCTCTCCTGTGGAACCAGCTTCCATTTGTGGTTCGGGAGGCAGACACCCTCACCACATTCAAGAGTAGGCTTAAGACAGTCCTCTTTGATAAAGCTTATAGTTAGGGCTGGATCAGGTGAGTCCTGAACCATCCCTTAGTTATGCTGTTATAGGCCTAGACTATCGGGGGATTTCCCATGGTGCACTGAGCTCCTCCCTTCCTCTCTCTTTCTGCACTCATTCATGTCCCATTAATGCATGTTACTAACTTCACTTCTTCCCCGGAGTTCTTGTGCTTTCTCGTCTCGCAGGTTCTTGTCGATCCTGGTGGAGCCTCCTGCCATGGTCCTGCTAGATTGCCATTGCCAATACTGTTGTTGCTGTGCACCTGTCTGTCTCTCTCTCTCCCTGCCTCTCTCTCTCTCTCACCCCAACTGGTCGAGACAGACGACCACCCACCTAGAGCCGGAGGATCTGTCCTAGGTTTATGCCTTTTAACAGGAAGTTTTTCCTTGCCCTTGTCGCCAAGTGCTTGCTCATGGTGGTACTGTTGGGTCTCTGTAATTAATGTTTTAAAGAGTTCGGTCTAGACCTGCTCTATTTGAAAAGTGTCCTGAGATAACTTCTGTTATGAATTGGCGCTATACAAATAAAATTGAATTGAATTGAATTTAATTGAATCTTCTTCGTCTTGCTAGTGTTAAGCGGAAGCTGGTTGAGCTCACACCAGCTGACAAAGTCCCTGATAACAGTCCTGTGTTCAAGTTCGTTCCCCTCAGAAACGCATCCAACAATGGCTGTATCATCTAAGAACTTCTGGATATGGCAGAGCGTGGAGTTGTGGGTAAAGTCTGAGGTGTACAGGGTGAAGAGGAAGGGAGAGAGCACTGTACCCTGAGGGGCACCTGTGTTGCAGAGCACAACGTCAGACACACAGTGTTGTAGCCTCACAGACTGTGGTCTGTTAGAGAGATAGTCTATTGTCCATGCAGCCAGGTGTTGGTCCACTCCCACACTGTCAATCTTCACTCTGAGCAGTGACGGCTGGATAGTGTTGAAAGCACTGGAGAAGTCAAAAAGCATGACCCTCGCTGTGCTCCCGCTGTCCTCCAGGTGTAACAGGGATCTGTGCAGCAGGTAGATTACTGCGTCGTCCACCCCAATACCAGGCTGGTAAGCAAACTGCAGGGGGTTCAGCTGTGTGCCCACCAGGAGTCGCAGGTGTCTCAGGATGATCCTCTCCATGGTCTTCATCAGGTGGGAGGTCAAGGCAACAGGTCTGAAGTGGTTAGCCTCCTTGGGGCACGGTGTCTTCAGTAACGGGAGGACTGGTGGAGGTCAGGTGTTGAAGATGGCAGGCTGAGTAGTGGAGGGGCAGGGGGAGCTTGCCAGGGAAGTTGTGAAGTGGTAGCAGGGTGGGTGAGGGGAGAGGGAGAGGAGGCAGAATCAAATCTGTTAAAAAACATTAAGTTCATCTGCCCAGTCCTTGTCCCTGCTGGTTTGGTTTCTTCCCACTCCTTTTCAATGGCCTGAGATGTTCTGCAGGCCTCTCAAGACATCCCTGGCGCTGTTCTGTTCCAGCCGCTTCTCCAGTTTTCTCCTGTAGCTGTCCTTTCCCTTCCTGATCTTTTGTTGGAGTTCCTTCTGGACTCTGCGCAGCTCCTCTTTGTCCCCCCAATCTAAGACCCTCTTCTTCTCATTCAGCAGGGCCTTAATCTCGGAGGTCACCCAGGGTTTGTTGTTGGGAAAACACTTCATCAACTTGAAGGGCACAGTGTTCTCCACACAGAAATTAATATAGTCTGTATTGCCGTGGGTCATACTCAGTGTTGGGCAAGTTACTTTTAAAAAGTAATTAGTTACAGTTAATAGTTACTTCTTCCGTAAGGTAACTAAATTAGTTACTCAGTTACAAATTACAAAAGTAACTAGTTACTTAGGGAAAGTAACTATTGCGTTACTTTCAAGTACATTTTTAAATGCTCAAATGTGACCCCACCTCCACCCCTCTTTAACAGAACTTAAAATACATGTGCATGTTCAATTATTTATGATAAATCTGAATATTATAATGACGTGTGAATCAGGAGAAAGTTCACTCAGCCACGTCTCTGTGTAGCACATAAGGCTGCATTCCCGGTACTCCCTCTGCAGCCGGGTTAGCGTCGTTAGTTCTTCCATCTTTTGGGGGAGAGATCTTACGTTCCCCATGATGACAGACGGCAAACATGGTTTAAAGCGTCTTTTTCGCTGTCTGCACTTAACTCCCGCTCTGCATCCTCTCCTCCTTTGCCGTATCTCCTTGGGGATCTCCAGCCGCTCCGCGCAGCGAAGGGGTGTGTGGCACAGGGCTAACAGCTGATCCCGGGTGTAAACAAGGGAGCCGTGGTTGAGTGGGTCTCCTGACGCCGCACCAAAAAATTCAAAAAACAAGAAGTGTGCATCCATAGCTTCGCACTTGCTTAAAGTTTGTCATTTGTCTATGTGAGCAACAAAAAGTAAACTAAAGCACGATATATAAAAAAAGTACACTAAAAACACTAAAACACTATACAAAAACACTAAAAAGATCCACAAAGTTAAGAGCTGTTGTGACTAGCTGCCACTCATGCGGCGCTAACATTCTAGATTTCATAGGGGACACGCAGACCAGGTTTCATAGGGGACACGCAGACCAGGTTTCATAGGGGACACAGAGAGCAGGTTTCATAGGGGGACACAGAGAGCAGGTTTCATAGGGGACACGCAGACCAGGTTTCATAGGGGACACGCAGACCAGGTTTCATAGGGGGACACAGAGAGCAGGTTTCATAGGGGACACAGAGAGCAGGTTTCATAGGGGACACAGAGAGCAGGTTTCATAGGGGACACGCAGACCAGGTTTCATAGGGGACACGCAGACCAGGTTTCATAGGGGACACGCAGACCAGGTTTCATAGGGGACACGCAGACCAGGTTTCATAGGGGACACAGACCAGGACTAACCCTGTTAGTTTGTTCTTACCGGCTCTGTTTCTCCGTCCAGCCTCTCTCTCTCGCTCTCAGTGAAACTTCATATCGAAGCCTCTTCGCCAGCTCTGAGATCTCCTCCTGCAGCACCTCCACCTGCACAACACCTGGAGGTTACCATGGTTACTGTCAACTGCTGCTTCATACAGGGAGGGAGGAGGAGAGGTGGAGGAGGAAAGGAAGAGAGAAGGAGGAAAGGAGGAGTAAGAGGGAGGAGGAGGAGGAAAGGAAGAGAGAAGGAGGAGAGGAAGAAGAGAGAGGGAGAGGAGGAGAGGAGAGAAGGAGAGGAGGAGAGGGAGAGAAGGAGAGGGAGACGATGAGAGGAGGAGAGGAGGAGAGAGGAGGAGGACGAGAGGAGAGGAGAGCAGGACAGGAGGAGGTTTGGTTTTCAAAATCCCTTTATTTTTCCATTTCAACTATAAAATCAGATCACTTTGCATCATCACTTCAGGACAAACCAGGAACAAATTTAAAAAATGTTCAATCAACTCCCCGTCTGCCCCCACAGAGCACAGAACCCCCCCAACAGCCCATATGCGACTGAATGCCTGAATATTGTCCATCATGTGATAATAAGCATGTTCCACTCTCAGTCGTGACTTCAGCAGTCCTTCCAGAACCGGCAGCAGCTCCACACCGCCAGTACCCTGAACCCGGTTTCTTCGAGTCAGCCAAATAGCCAACTTGGCAGAGCCAGATAAAAAGTGAATCAATGTATGCACCGATCTCTTTTTAGCACAGTGCTTTGGACCAAAAATAAACAAACAAAAAAGAAAACCTCCCCAAGACCCTGAACCCACCTTTTAAAAAGCTGAAATTGAATTGAATTGAATTGAAACAGTACCGTCAGCCAAGGACACTGAGTAACTAAATGTTCCAGAGTCTCAACCTGAGAACAGAATATACACTCCTCCCCCAGCTCCGGATCCAGGTGCACTCTGTATCTGTTCGTGGCTATTGCCCCATGTACAACCCTCTACAGCTTGTACAGGGACCGCCACCTGCCTTTCGGGGAAAAACCTGGACCAAAAAACTCAGTCCACCTCGACTCATTCACCCCTACCAAGGAACGCAAGTTCAGGACTTTCACACAGGTTTGATATACTGCCAGTTTCCCTGCAGCCTGACACTTGTCCAGGTGAGGAGCTGTGAAAGACAGCAGCTGAGTGCCTCCCTCCCGCCACGCTCCCACAGCGGGAGTGATAACCAGAGAGGGGAAACTGTACTCCCCCTCCTCATCCCACTGGTCACACAGAGCTCGGTTTGTGATAAAAGCCCTTAGGGATTGTGGCAGGGCAGCACAGACCTCCTCCACCACTCTGTTGATTAACCTGATAGAGGTGATGTTACTGTTCTGAGTGTCCACAGCTGTCATCTTCATCAGATGGCCCAGTTTAGTGCAGCCAGCCTCTCTGAAGTTGACTCGCAGACTCACAGACTGCACTGTTTGAGTTCTTATAAAGTTGTTAAAAAACAATGGCTCCTCAAACAGCCACATGCCTGGAGTTTGACTTTCTTCACAATCAAACTTAAAAACCTGCCATGCCTGCAACACAGAGCTGTAGAATGACGTCAGGCCAGTAAGATCCACGTTCTCATGGTGTAGGAGGAAAAGCTGTCTGTCATAGCCCAACCGCCCAGCTCTCCTCAGCAGCAGTAGGGCCATATCACACCATCCTGGGCCACAGCTGTACAGCAGTAATCGTGCAGTCTGCAGTCTAAATGAGGCGATTTTGGATGCTCATTAGTGCCTGCCCACCTTCAACCCAGGTAGGTAGAGGATAGCTGCACGGACCCAGTGCTTGCCAGACCAGAAGAAGTCCAGTATGGCTCTCTGAACGTCCTCTTTCAGGCCTCTTGGCGGTGTCAGAGCAGTGAGTCTGTGCCAAAGAGTCGAGGCGACCAAGTTATTGGCAACCAGAACTCTTCCCCTATACGACAGCTGAGGTAGCACCCATTTCCATCGAGACAACTGAGCGCACACTTTCTCCTTCACTCCCTCCCAGTTCTTAGCCTGAAACCCCTCAGTGCCCAAAAACACTCCCAACACTTTCAACCCCTCCTTTCCCCACTCAAGTCCTCCAGGCAGACTTGGTACTGCCCTATCCCTCCACTGCCTCACTAACAAGGCTTTACTCTTCACCCAAGAAGCCCTTTCATAGAGCGTCAGAGTATCCTGCAGCCATTTAATATCCTGCTGGCTGGAAACAAGGATATTGACATCATCTGCATAAGCAGAAACTGGAGGAGGATGCTCAATTCTAGAGGATACAGGCAGTGAGATACCACTGAGCTTACTTCTCAGCTTAACCAATAAAGGTTCAATTGCTAAGCTATATAGCTGCCCAGAAATAGGGCAACCCAGCCTTATCCCTCACTGCACAGAGATCGGCCGACTCAGCCCTGACCCCATCTTCACCTTACATTGTGCACCCCTATACAATAAACTAACCCAATCCACAAAGCCATCACCAATACCAAAACCCTGAAGTGTGGAGAACAAATAAGAGTGATCCACCCTATCAAAAGCTTTTTCCTGGTCCAAAGAAACAATACCAAAATTAATATTATAACATTTAGATACATCGATAACATCACGCATGAGAAAAATGTTGTCCATTATTGTCCGGTCTGGTACACAATAGGACTGGTCTCTGTGAACAATTATTTCAAGTATACCTTTCAGTCTGTTAGATAAGGCTCTAGAGAGAACCTTATAATCCGTACAAATTAGAGCAACTGGCCTCCAGTTTTTGAGTAAAGCCAGGTCTTAGGCAGCAGGGAAAGCACTGCTCGTTGACAGGAAACAGGAAGGGATCCTGTCCTAAAGCACTCCAGCAGCACAAGGTGTAAATCAGGTCCAAGAATACTCCAAAAGTATTTATAAAAATCAGTTGAGAGACCATCAATCCCTGGTGCCCGTGCTGACGTCATCTGATTGACAGCAACTGTCAATTCAGCTAGAGTCAGCTCACAGTCCAAACCAGCTTTCTCTCCTGGGCTGAGCTGTGGAAGCCCTTCCAGGAGCTCCTCACGGCAATCCATGCCACACTGTTCTGCCCCAAAGAGGTTAGCATAGAAATCCATCACATGACTCCTCATTTCACCAGGACTAGTGGTCACGCTGCCCCCTGGAAGCTGAAGGCAAATCATCTGTTTCCTCTTTGCCACAGACCTCTCCAAGTTGAGGAAGAAAGAGCTCAGGCCATCCATGTCTTTTAACTGGAGGAAGCGAGACCTGACAAGAGCTCCCTTCAGCCTCTCTTGCAAGAAAGACCTCAAAGCCACCCTCTTTTCCTGCAGCAGATGACCCACAGTGGGATCAGGAACCCTATGTAAACCCTCCTCAATGTTCTTAATCACTAGTCTGGAACTGAGGCTCTTGGAAACATAAATCCTGTCTAGTCTAGCTGCGCTTACCCTGTTATTGTTTACCCTCACCCATGTGTATTGTCTGGACTGTGGATGTTTAACTCTCCATGTGTCTAATGAGTCCAGATGTGTGATGGTACTGCAGATACTGTGCTGACTGCGGGTGGGGTTCCTCACTCATCCTATCTACAGTAAAATCTAATGTACAGTTAAAATCCTCATCAATGATTAACTGGTCCTGATGATACTTCTTCAGTTCATTTTTTAGCAGGTAAGAAACGCTACTCTCTCTCTTCCTTGATTTGGGGCATTTTTTTTTCTGACTCACTGGTGGAAGCTCTGTCCTCAACATTTTCTGTCAACTTTGATTGTATTTTAATCTTTTCAGTCTCTGCAGACTGCAAGATGCTCAGGTTCTTTGCAGCCCCAGAAGCCTGTTGCTTCTCAATAAGACTCTGTTCCCAATGTGAACTAGTGGCAGCAGACAACGCAGCTGCAGCTCCACAATCCGCCACCTTACTCCCGGCCGCAGCGTCCACTGCGAGCCCGGCACCGGCCGCGGCATCCGCTGCGAGCCCGGCGCCAGCAGAGCTACCAGCTACGTCCTCCGACTGAGCCTCTACCTGTTGTTTATGCGGACATGCAAAACGTTTGTGCCCAACATCTCCACACTCAAAGCACTTAATATGTCCCGAGCTGGCGTACACCATGTATGACCCGTCCCCATGTTTTACCCTAAATGACACCTTACATCCCAAACTGACTGATCCAAACCTACGTAGCTCATTTCCTAACAGCTCGTTGAGAATAAACGGCGGAACACCGGATACGGTGACCCGCGTGGAGGGTGCTGACAGCGGGGAGACCTGCACAGATAAGTCCCTGATAAACACTCCACTCTCAATCAGCTGATGAACAGGCGGCTTGTTTTTCAGAACTAGAAGAGGAGGACGAGGAGAGAGGGAGAGAGGAGGAGAGGGAGGGACGAGGAGAAGAGAAGGGGGGAGAGAGGAAAGAGGAGAGAGGGAGGAGAGGGAGACAATTAGAGGAGGTCGAGGAGAAGAGAAGGGGGAGAGAGGAGGAGAGAGGAGAGAGAGAGGAGGAGGGGAGGAGGGAGGGGAGAGGAGAGGAGACGAGGATGAGGAGAAGAGAAGGGGGAGAGAGGAAGGAGGAGAGGAGAGAGGAGGGAGAGAGAGAGAGGAGGAGGGAGGAGGGAGGAGGAGAGAGGAGGAGAGGAGAGACGATGAGAGGAGGAGGGAGGAGGGAGGAGAAAGGAGAGGAGACAATGAGAGGGAGGATGAGGAGAAGAGAAGGGGGAGGGAGGAAAGAGGAGAGAGGAAAGAGGAGAGGAGGAGGAGCTGATGTAGAATTTCCCCACTATAATAATAAAGGTTATTCTGTCTCAGTGATATTTTGTCGCCACCTGCAGGAGACCGAAGCTCATCACACACATTATAACATTATTATTATTATTATTATTATTATTATTATTATTAGTGATGTTGTTGTTGTTACTGTATTTATTGTTGTTGCTCATAAAGAAATCTATGTTGTTTTCATTGTGGATCGGATCAGAGACCCGGTCTGGGTCTGATGTGGTCTGTGGTGAACTGACCTTGGCGAGGATGATCAGCTGGTAGGCGGCGAGCGGCAACGTGACCACCGTCCTCACCGACAGCGTCGCCATGGCGATGCTGAGCCACCATGGCAACCCGCTCACCTGCTGCACCCCGACCAGGAAGTCCTCACACAGGTGGACCGGAGCCGAGTCTGAGAGTCTGCTGTACCAGCCCGGAGCTCCTGGACCGCCTCCGCCTGAGAACCTCCTGACCCCTGTGGAAGTCCTGGAACCTGACCGGGTCCAGGCTGCAGGGAGTCCAGCAGACGGCGGTCCGGAGCAGACGGGACCAGGTCCAGGTGACTTCCTGTTGACAGCAGAACAGAGTCCCCGAACAGGAATCCGCAGGACTCCAGACCTCAGCGACCCCCCAACACTCAACATGGATCTCTCCTCTTCAGGATCAGAGACCAGTTCGGAATCTTGTTGTTATTGATTCTCTACGATATTAAACCAATAACTGCTGTGCTAATCAATAAACTTTTATTCTCTATTCTTTCACCTTCATCCCTCCATCCAGCGGCAGCGCGGCGTCCCACACTTGTGACCTCACACTGTTTACCGCCGCGCGTCTGATAAATGTGACGTCATTGCGCCGTTAAGAAAATAAAACTTCCTGTAAATAAAAACAATATAAATGAATTAAAAGCAAACTAACAAACAAATAATAAATGAGAGCAGCGACCAGACAACAGAGAGGTAACTTTACCTTTGTTACTTTATTACTGATGAATAAATGTGTCAGAAGACTTTTAAACTTGTAAATGGAGCTAATTTGAAATACTTGTTTAATCGATTAAAATGCATCTTATTTTTAAACTCATCATCTGTTAAATGTTAAACATCAGAAGAATAACTGCTGCAGCAGACAGAAAGTCCAATAAAATGAACATTATATTATATATTATATTATTTACTGCTGAAACAAAGTAGTACAGAGAACTTGAGTTAATGTATTTAAACGTCCACTGCGCGACTCTTTTATTGTGAAGTCTACCGGAAGTGCAGTAGCGGATAATCGTGTCCGCGGACAGATCGGTGTCCCAGCAGTCATGGCGGAGTACAGCCAGGCCGGCCTCCTGGCTGCTGTGCTCCTGTTCACGGCCCTCACGGTCCGGGACGTTTATGTCGGGAGATCGAGCCCGCAGCGCGGACAGCAGCAGGCCGACAGCCGCGGCCTTTCCCCGGACACTCTGCCGGACACAGAGCCCGGGAAACCCGCCAAACCCGCCCTGTACAGCGGGCCCGTGCTCCGGTTCCAGTACTGGTGAGTGTGTTAGCACGACGGCTAACAGCTAGCGTCATATAATACTGTCTCTGAAGCTCAATAATAGTAAATATAATCAAACATTATATTAATAATGTTTTTAATTGATTCATTAAATTCATTAAATTCAGTCTTTAATTTAAAACACTTTATTTTGGTAAATCTGATACAGAATCTGATTTCCTGTTCAGTTCATAATCCGGATCAATATGTGACAATAAATGTAACTGCTCTTGTATCAGGTACATTAAAGATGTCTTATTAATCTTTATTACAGACACTGATTGTATAGAATATATATTCAAATATCGATTTTATATAAATCATCAAATAAAATCTTTAGATTCCTCCAGATGTTTGTTTGTTTGTTTCAGACCAATTATTGATTTGTACTGTGTTTCAGGGTGACATAATAATGATCATTCACACTGATCATTAATCAATATCAGAATCACAATACAATGTTTTTTCTCTAATTGATTCAGTTCTATGTTCATAATGTAGTCGCTCAGGTGGTCCAGGTTGGGTTCCGGACTGGGTGACCTGGTACTCCTGACCTGTGTCTTGTGTCTTTCAGTATCTCCTGAGGTTACAGTAAAGTGTTCCAGGAGTACTCTCGAGCCATCAGCCAGCTGTACCCGGACATCCGCATCGAGGGAGAAAACTACCCCCCCACCCCCTTCAACAGGTGAGCTCTGACAGGTAAAACTAGGCATGTGTGCGATTAGTCGACTAGTTAAACGGCTGATTTCAGTCTCTACGTGACCTCTGCTGGCTCCGTTTTACTGTCATGATGGCGACTAAAACGCGCAACTAAAGGCTTTGAACTCCGGGGAAGAAGTGAAGGCGTTTCCAGCAGCAGCAGAACCATTTCCAGCAGTAGTAGAACCGTTTCCAGCAGCAGCAGAACCGTTTCCAGCAGTAGCAGAACCATTTCCAGCAGTAGTAGAACCGTTTCCAGCAGTAGCAGAACCATTTCCAGCAGTAGTAGAACCGTTTCCAGCAGCAGCAGAACCATTTCCAGCAGTAGTAGAACCGTTTCTAGCAGCAGCAGAACCGTTTCCAGCAGTAGTAGAAGCGTTTCCAGCAGCAGCAGAACCGTTTCCAGCAGTAGTAGAACCGTTTCCAGCAGTAGTAGAACCGTTTCCAGCAGTAGCAGAACCGTTTTCAGCAGTAGTAGAACCGTTTCAGCTGTAGCAGAACCGTTTCCAGTAGCAGCAGAACCGTTTCCAGTAGCAGAACCGTTTCCATCAGCAGCAGAACCGTTCTCAGCAGTAGTAGAACCGTTTTCAGCTGTAGCAGACCGTTCCAGTAGCAGCAGAACCGTTTCCAGCAGCAGCGAACCGTTTCCAGCAGCAGCAGAACCGTTTCCAGCAGCAGCAGAACCATTTCCAGCAGTAGTAGAACCGTTTCCAGCAGCAGCAGAACCGTTTCCAGCAGTAGCAGAACCGTTTCCAGCAGTAGTAGAACCGTTTCCAGCAGTAGCAGAACCATTTCCAGCAGTAGTAGAACCGTTTCCAGCAGCAGCAGAACCATTTCCAGCAGTAGTAGAACCGTTTCTAGCAGCAGCAGAACCGTTTCCAGCAGTAGAAGAACCGTTTCCAGCAGCAGCAGAACCGTTTCCAGCAGTAGCAGAACCGTTTCCAGCAGTAGCAGAACCGTTTCCAGCAGTAGCAGAACCGTTTTCAGCAGTAGTAGAACCGTTTTCAGCTGTAGCAGAACCGTTTCCAGTAGCAGCAGAACCGTTTCCAGTAGCAGAACCGTTTCCATCAGCAGCAGAACCGTTCTCAGCAGTAGTAGAACCGTTTTCAGCTGTAGCAGAACCGTTTCCAGTAGCAGCAGAACCGTTTCCAGCAGCAGCAGAACCGTTTCCAGCAGCAGCAGAACCGTTTCCAGCAGCAGCAGAACCGTTTCCAGCAGCAGCAGAACCGTTTCCAGCAGCAGCAGAACCGTTTCCAGCAGTAGAACCGTTTCCATCAGCAGCAGAACCGTTTTCAGCAGTAGTAGAACCGTTTTCAGCTGTAGCAGAAACGTTTCCAGTAGCAGAACCGTTTCCAGCAGCAGCAGAACCGTTTCCAGCAGCAGCAGAACCGTTTTCAGCAGTAGTAGAACCGTTTTCAGCTGTAGCAGAACCGTTTTCAGCTGTAGCAGAACCGTTTCCAGCAGCAGCAGAACCGTTTCCAGCAGCAGCAGAACCGTTTTCAGCAGCAGCAGAACCGTTTCCAGCAGCAGCAGAACCGTTTCCAGCAGTAGAACCGTTTCCAGCTGTAGCAGAACCGTTTCCAGCAGCAGCAGAACTGGTTTGAGCAGTAGAACCAGTCTCTCTCTGTGTCTTTAGGTGTTTCGGGAACCTGATCTCCTACCTGAAGCTCCTTGCCATCATGCTCATTGTCAGTGGTCAGAACCCCTTCCTCCTCCTCGGCCTCGACACTCCCAGAGCCTGGACCTGGAGTCAGGACAACAAGGTATCCGTTACTACAGAAACGCATGCATCAGCCGGTTACCACAGCAACCGCTTTAACCCCTCGCTGTCTGTGTTTGTCAGATCTTCTCCTGTCTGATGGCCTTCTTCCTCTGCAACATGATGGAGACTCACTTCCTGTCTACAGGAGCCTTCGAGATCACTCTCAACGGTGAGTTCTCATTGGTCCACAGCGTGATGTTGCTGTGAGCGGTGAGTTCTAATTGGATGAGGACAGGACAAGGCAAATAGAGAAAGAAGGAGGGAGTGGACAAAAGTAAGGGGGATAACGTTGTCCTTTGTCCTCTCTCTACTTCCTGGTGTAACAGTGTCTTTTGTCCTCCCTGTCTCAGACGTCCCGCTGTGGTCGAAGCTTCAGTCGGGTTACGTTCCGAACATTCAGGAGATCTTCCAGATCCTCGACACCCACCTGAAGATGAACCAGGTGGAGCCAATGAGCTTCTCATCTACATAGAGCTACACAGGTAAACACACACACAGGTAAACACCCTGTTATCTGACACCTGTCTCTCTCTCACCTGTCTTTCTCTATCTCTGTCTGTCCTCAGCCGTGCTGCGTTCAGGAGTCCCGGCTCAGTGGGACTTTCAGCCGTTGGCGTTCATGAAGGTTCGGCCTTAAAGCAGACTCTGCGAGGCCAAGCCGGATGTCCCCTGCCATGGAAGGAGCGCTCCCTCTGCGTCGGACCCCAGCTCAGCACTACAGTACCCATAATGCACCAGTCAGCAGCGGTGCCCCCAGACTCTACTGGACTCTACTGGTTTCTGTTGGTTTTATTTATTTAGTTTGAGGTTTAAAATACGGTACCATTGTTAGCTTCATGCTAATTCGCCTCCGTCTGTACAGGAAGTTAGCTTCATGCTAATTAGCCTCCGTCTGTACAGGAAGTTAGCTTAATGCTAATTAGCCTCTGTCTGTACAGGAAGTTAGCTTAATGCTAATTAGTCTCTGTCTGTACAGGAAGTTAGCTTCACGCTAATTAGCCTCTGTCTGTACAGGAAGTTAGCTTCACGCTAATTAGCCTCCGTCTGTATAGGAAGTTAGCTTCACGCTAATTAGCCTCTGTCTGTACAGGAAGTTACCTTAATGCTAATTAGCCTGTGTCTGTACAGGAAGTTACCTTAATGCTAATTAGCCTCCGTCTGTACAGGAAATTAGCTTCATGCTAATTAGCCTCCATCTGTACAGGAAGTTAGCTTCATGCTAATTAGCCTCTGTCTGTACAGGAAGTTAGCTTCATGCTAATTAGCCTCTGTCTGTACAGGAAGTTAGCTTCATGCTAATTAGCCTCTGTCTGTACAAGTGATGAATAATTAAAATCTGGTTAAGTTTGAATGAAAGTCTGAAAGAAATAAAAATAAAACTCATCAACATGAAAACAATGCCATGCTTTTATTGTGTAAACAGGAAATGATCTGCTGGTCTCTGTTGTCTTCACGTTAAAAATAACGTGAAGACAGGTTGAAACAGGTGAGGACTGGTGGAGACAGGTGAGGACTGGTGGAGACAGGTGAGGACAGGTGGAGACAGGTGAGGACTGGTGGAGACAATAGAGGACTGGTGGAGACAGGTAGAGACTGGTGGAGACAATAGAGGACTGGTGGAGACAGGTGAGGACTGGTGGAGACAGGTGAGACAGGTGGAACTGGTGGAGACAATAGAGGACTGGTGGAGACAGGTAGAGACAGGTGGAGACTGGTGGAGACAATAGAGGACTGGTGGAGACAGGTGAGGACTGGTGGAGACAGGTGAGGACAGGTGGAGACAATAGAGGACTGGTGGAGACAGGTGGAGACTGGTGGAGACAATAGAGGGACTGGTGGAGACAGGTGAGGACTGGTGGAGACAGGTAGACAGGTGGAGACTGGTGGAGACAATAGAGGACTGGTGGAGACAGGTGAGGACTGGTGGAGACAGGTGAGGACAGGTGGAGACAATAGAGGACTGGTGGAAACTGGTGAGGACTGGTAGAGACAGGTGAGGACTGGTGGAGACAGGTGAGGACTGGTGGAGACAGGTGAGGACAGGTGGAGACAGGTGAGGACTGGTGGAGACAATAGAGGACTGGTGGAGACAGGTGACTGGTGGAGACAATAGAGGACTGGTGGAGACAGGTGAGGACTGGTGGAGACAGGTAGAGACAGGTGGAGACTGGTGGAGACAATAGAGGACTGGTGGAGACAGGTCAGGTGGAGACTGGTGGAGACAATAGAGGACTGGTGGAGACAGGTGAGGACTGGTGGAGACAGGTGAGGACAGGTGGAGACAATAGAGGGACTGGTAGAGACAGGTGGAGACTGGTGGAGACAATAGAGGACTGGTGGAGACAGGTGAGGACTGGTGGAGACAGGTAGAGCGGTGGAGACTGGTGGAGACAATAGAGGACTGGTGGAGACAGGTGAGGACTGGTGGAGACAGGTGAGGACAGGTGGAGACAATAGAGGACTGGTGGAAACTGGTGAGGACTGGTAGAGACAGGTGAGGACTGGTGGAGACAGGTGGGACAGGTGGAGACGTGGAAACTGGTGAGGACTGGTGGAAACTGGTGAGGACTGGTGGAGACAGGTAGAGACAGGTGGAGACAGGTGGAGACAGGTGAGGACTGGTGGAGACTGGTGGAAACTGGTGGAAACAATAGAGGACTGGTGGAAACTGGTGAGGACTGGTGGAGACAGGTAGAGACAGGTGGAGACAGGTGAAGACAGGTGAGGACTGGTAGAGACAGGTGAGGACTGGTGGAGACAATAGAGGACTGGTGGAAACTGGTGAGGACTGGTGGAGACAATAGAGGACTGGTGGAGACAGGTGAGGACTGGTGGAGACAATAGAGGACTGGTGAGGACAGGTGGAGACAATAGGACTGGAGGAGACAGGTGAGGACTGGTGGAGACAGGTAGAGACTGGTAGTAATGTAATATTGAGACATTTTTATCTACAGAGGAAGCAGCTCCTCTTCTGGTGGAGTCCGCCATGTTTCTACAGTCACACAGCACCTCTCCTCTTCCTCCTCTTCCTCATTCTCCTCCTCTTCCTCCTCCTCTTCCTCCTCTTCTTCCTCCTCCTCTTCCTCCTCCTCTTCCTCCTCTTCCTCATTCCCTCCTCTTCCTCCTCCTCTTCCTCCTCTTCTTCCTCCTCCTCTTCCTCCTCTTCCTCATTCTCCTGCTCCTCATTTATTGATTCATTGATCTGTAAACTCACAAATATATTCAACAAAACAAATAATTAGCAAAAGAAAATTCTGTAAAAAATCTAAAGCAAACAATACTATTTATTATTGATCATATAATATTAATATTGATAATATAATACAATTATTGATCATATAATATTAATATTGATAATATAATACAATTATTGATCATATAATATTAATATTGATAATATAATACAATTATTGATCATATAATATTAATATTGATAATATAATACAATTATTGATCATATAATATTAATATTTATAATATAATACAATTATTGATCATATAATATTAATATTGATAATATAATACAATTATTGATCATATAATATTAATATTGATAATATAATACAATTATTGATCATATAATATTAATATTGATAATATAATACAATTATTGATCATATAATATTAATATTTATAATATAATACAATTATTGATCATATAATATTAATATTGATAATATAATACAATTATTGATCATATAATATTAATATTTATAATGAAATACAATTATTGATCATATAATATTAATATTGATAATATAATACAATTATTGATCATATAATATTAATATTGATAATATAATACAATTATTGATCATATAATATTAATATTGATAATATAATACAATTATTGATCATATAATATTAATATTTATAATATAATACAATTATTGATCATATAATATTAATATTGATAATATAATACAATTATTGATCATATAATATTAATATTTATAATGAAATACAATTATTGATCATATAATTACTGATCATAAAATATTGATAATATAATACAATTATTGATCATATAATATTAATATTGATAATATAATACAATTATTGATCATATAATATTAATATTGATAATATAATACAATTATTGATCATATAATATTAATATTGATAATATAATACAATTATTGATCATATAATATTAATATTGATAATATAATACAATTATTGATCATATAATATGACTGATAATAAACTATTGATATTGATAATATAACATTAATGTTGATAATAAGATGTGTGACTGGAGGAGTTCAATAAGGAACACAGATTAAGTGTTTATTGATTATTATATAATAACAATATGATGATTTAATAAAGATTAATAAACATCCTCACAGTCTGTTACTAATCATTGATTATAATCGATCATTAGAAATAATCAATAACTGTTTAATAATCAGCTGATTGACTGGCTCGCGCTGTCAGACAGCAGGTGGCGGGAATGAGGCTCAACTCTGCTTAACGACTTCCGGTATAGAAGAAGAAGAAGCTGCTGCAACCGGCGGTAGAAGCTAACGTTAGCATTAGCTGCTGTTCGTTTGTTCCCAGGTTGTGATGTTTCCGTGTGTTAGCGTAGCTACACTGCAGCTAACTGCTAACTGCTAACAGGAGAGAAACCACACTGACGGTGAGTGAACGCTGCTAACTGTTAGCAGCATGCTAACTGTTAGCTGCATGCTAACGGCTAACTGTTGTTACCGGTTACTGAGGGCGGATCTGTACTCTGAATAACACTACAGTTTAACCACAGTGTGTCATTATTGAACGTTTATTTAAATGAGTGAATGAACGTTAACCGGAGCAGGACACACTTTGGAAGGGGAACCGATTTTATCACAACACCTGCTACAGCCGGCTGCTAGCTAACTGAGAGCTAACTGCTAACTGGCTGAATGATTAAATACAGTTAACGTTAATTAAATACAGTTAACGTTAATTAAATACAGTTAACGTTAATTAAATACAGTTCTAAACTGTCAGGTTGGTTAGCATGATGCTAACAGAGCAGTTAGTGTGACCCTAAAGACAACTTCCTGTCTGTGACCTGAAGTAATTTCATCATCAGGACTTATTAATAAAATCATTAATGACATCATGTTTAATTAGTAAAGTAGTTTAAAAACAGGCACACAACCATTTACAGGACAATTAGCTGATAATGATCCTGATCAGCCTTCAGTTACCAAGCTCCTCTAGAACACTACGTTCTCTGAATGCTGGGCTACTTGTGGTTCCTATAGTCTCTAAAAGTAGAACAGGAGCCAGAGCCTTCAGTTACCAAGCTCCTCTCCTGTGGAACCAGCTTCCAGTTGTGGTTCGGGAGGCAGACACCCTCACCACATTCAAGAGTAGGCTTAAGACATTCCTCTTTGATAAAGCTTATAGTTAGGGCTGGATCAGGTGAGTCCTGAACCATCCCTTAGTTATGCTGCTATAGGCCTAGACTATCGGGGGGATTTCCCATGGTGCACTGAGCTCCTCTCTTCCTCTCTCTTTCTGCACTCATTCATGTTCCATTAATGCATGTTACTAACTTCACTTCTTCCCCCGGAGTTCTTGTGCTTTCTCGTCTCGCAGGTTCTCATGGATCCTGGTGGAGCCTCCTGCCATGGTCCTGCTAGATTACCATTGCCAATACTGTTGTTGCTGTGCACCTGTCTGTCTGTCTCTCGCTCTCTCTCTCTCTCTCTCTTCTGTCTGTCTGTCTGTCTGTCTGTCTGTCTGTCTGTCTGTCTCTCTCTCTCTCTCACCCCAACTGGTCGAGACAGACGACCACCCACCTAGAGCCGGAGGATCTGTCCTAGGTTTCTGCCTTTTAACAGGCAGTGTTTCCTTGCCCTTGTCTCCAAGGTCTTGCTCATGGTGGTACTGTTGGGTCTCTGTAATTAATGTTATAAAGAGTTCGGTCTAGACCTGCTCTATTTGAAAAGTGTCCTGAGATAACTTCTGTTATGAATTGGTGCTATACAAATAAAATGTAATTGATCAGTAATCAATACTCACATTAATCAAACTAATACAGTCAGCAACCTGATCAGCCTTCAGCAGTTAGCTAGTGTTTCTGTAGTGGAGACTAAACGTTAACAATGATCCATATCAGCAGTTTGAATCCAACTAAAAGCTCCCTGCACCAAACTCCCTTTAAGAAATATCACATTTTAACAATTCCTAACGTGTTCGTAACAACACGTAACTCTAGAAACACGAGCTAAAGGCCGTCATATGTCCACAGTCTGACTGTCAATACAGGATCAATATCATCCATAAAGATACAGTGTATACTGATCAATAATCCATAAAGATACAGTGTATACTGATCAATGTCATCCATAAAGATACAGTGTATACTGATCAATAATCCATAAAGATACAGTGTATACTGATCAATAATCTATAAAGATACAGTGTATACTGATCAATATCATCCATAAAGATCCTGCCAGGATTGGCCTGGTAAATGCTAGATCACTAGCGAACAAGACTTTTGTCTTTAAGGACTTCTTCACGTCCCGAGGATTGGATTTCCTCTGTGTGACTGAGACATGGCTGAGTGTTGGTGAATCCAGGGCTTTCACTGAACTTTTACCCCATGATTGCTGCTACTTTAACCCCTCGCGGACGTCGGGCCGAGGAGGAGGAATAGCGACTGTCTATAAGAGTCATTATAAATGTAAGCAGTTATTGCTGTCATCCTCTTTCACCAGCTTTGAACTGAGCTTATTTGAGCTTGGTCGCTCTCACACAGTGTTGTGTGCTGTGGTCTATCGGCCTCCCAAGTACAATAAGGTCTTTTTAAATGACTTTTCTGATTTCCTGGCTGAAATCATGCCTAAATATGACCGTGTTCTTATTGTTGGGGATTTTAATGTTCATGTGTGTTGTCCTGATAAGCCAATGGCAAAGGGGTTTCTAAACCTCATTGATTCTTTTAATCTTGTGCAATCTGTGTCTGGACCCACACAAGAACACAGACACACACTTGATCTTGTCTTATCATATGGTTTGCCCGTTTTTAACCTAGAGATACGTGACACAGTGTTTCCTGACCATATGCCTGTATTATTTGAGGCTGCTCTTGCCTGTCATACAGTTAAACCTCGCGCTGCTGCTCGACGCTGTCGCATTATTAACCCTTCCACTGCTGTTCAGTTCTCAGTTGCTTTCAGTCAGAACTCCATCATTCCTGAGTCTGTGTGCAATTCAGAAGAGCTTACCTCATGGTTTCACTCCACCTGCCAAACTGTTTTAGACACTGTGGCTCCATTAAAATCCAGGCAGCCTAAAACTAAATCTGAGCCCTGGCTAAATGACACAACTCATGCTGTCAGACGTGAGTGCCGTAGAGCTGAGCGCAAGTGGAAGAAGGACAAACTGCAGGTGTCTTTTCAAATGTTAAGGGACTGCTGGCGTCATTATCAGAAAACTGTGAAAGATGCTAAAAGAAAACATTTCTCGGATATTATCCAGTCAAACTGTCACAAGCCTTTGTTAAACACTATTGACTCAGTTCTTAATGCCCCACAAACTGCCTGTATGGAGGCGTCCCCTGCTGTGTGTGGAAACTTCCTTCACTTTTTTATTGATAAGGTCACTTCAATTAGGGCTCAAATCTCACCTTCAGCTTATGACCCCTCAATCTCTGTTCCCTGCTCTGCTGTTTTTGACCATTTTGAGCCTGTGACTTTTTCCTTTTTACCGGAGGTTGTTGGTCATTTGAAGCCCTCGGGTTCTCCAAATGATGCTGTCCCCCCTCGACTATTTAAAGAGGTTTTCCCCACTGTAGGACCATCTGTTATTGCAGTCATAAATAGCAGTCTGTCCTCAGGTGTGGTCCCTTAAAATTTTAAACATGCAGTAGTGCAACCTCTGATTAAAAAACCTGCTCTAGATCCTGCAGTTCTTGCTAATTTCAGGCCTATCTCCAAATTGCCTTTCCTTTTAAAAAATCCTGGAGAAGGTTGTGCACAGTCAATTAATGGCCTTTCTGGAAGAACATAATATCCTAGAGGTTTTCCTATCCGGTTTTAAAACCCTGCACAGCACCGAATCAGCTCTCTTGAGAGTTTTTATTGATATCTTTTGAGCTACTGACTCTGGTGACTGTGTTATCCTTGTGCTTTTAGATTTAACTACTGCATTTGACACAGTGGATCAGTGGGTCCTCCATCGCCCGTCTCCAGATGGTACAGAATGCTGCTGCATGTCTTTTAACTGGCACACGTAAACATGAGCACATTTCCCCCATTTTAGCCTCACTCCACTGGCTGCCTATTCAATTTAGGATCCATTTTAAAATTCTTTTATTTGCTTTTAAATCCCTGAATGGTCTTGCCTCGCCCTACCTCTCTGAGCTTCTACACCCCTATATACCCATCCGCCCCCTCAGGTCAGATGATCAGCTGCTCCTGAGTGTGCCTAAAACTAAGCGGAAGCTCAGAGGGAACCATGCCTTTGCTGTGTCTGTTCCTAAATTATGGAATGATCTGCCTCTGCACGTTAAACAGGCCTCTTCTGTCTGTTTTTAAATCCCGTCTTAAAACCCATCTCTTCTCTGTGGCCTTTGACACCTAGTAAGATGTCGACTTTATTTACTTGATTTAATTTCTTATTTTGCTTATTATTGCGCGGCTATTATTTTTAGTCATGTTTTATGTCTTTTCTTTTTTCTTATTTTATGTAATTCTGCGCCTCGTGAGCTGTTATGTCTTTTATTTATGATGTCTTATTTATTCTCCTGTACAGCACTTTGGTCAACTTTGGTTGTTTTAAATTGCTTAACAAGTAAAGTTGGATTGGATAAAGATTCAATTCAATTTCAATTAAATTCAGTTTTATTTGTATAGCGCCAATTCATAACAGAAGTTATCTCAGGACACTTTTCAAATAGAGCAGGTCTAGACCGAAATCCTTATAACATTATTTACAGAGACCCAACAGTACCACCATGAGCAAGCACTTGGCGACCAGGGCAAGGAAAAAATGCCCGTTAAAAGGCAGAAACCTAGGACAGATCCTTCGGCTCTAGGTGGGTGGTCGTCTGCCTCGACCAGTTGGGGTGAAAGAGAGAGACAGAGAGACAGACAGGTGCACAGCAACAACAGTATTGGCAATGGAAATCTAGCAGGACCATGGCAGGAGGCTGCACAAGGATCGATAAGAACCTGCGAGACGAGAAAGCACAAGAACTCCGGGGAAGAAGTGAAGTTAGTAACATGCATTAATGGGACATGAATGAGTGCAGAAAGAGAGAGGAAGAGAGGAGCTCAGTGCACCATGGGAAATCCCCCGAGAGTCTAGGCCTATAGCAGCATCACTAAGGGATGGTTCAGGACTCACCTGATCCAGCCCTAACTATAAGCTTTATCAAAGAGGAATGTCTTAAGCCTACTCTTGAATGTGGAGAGGGTGTCTGCCTCCCGAACCACAACTGGAAGCTGGTTCCACAGGAGAGGAGCTTGGTAACTGAAGGCTCTGGCTCCTGTTCTACTTTTAGAGACTATAGGAACCACAAGTAGCCCAGCATTCAGAGAACGTAGTGTTCTAGAGGGGTAATAGGGTACTATGAGCTCTTTAAGATATGAAGGGGCCTGACCATGAAGAGCTTTATAGGTGAGGAGGAGGATTTTAAATTCTATTCTACATTTTACAGGGAGCCAGTGCAGAGAAGCTAGTACAGGAGAGATGTGATCTCTTTTTCTACTTCCTGTCAGTACTCGTGCTGCAGCGTTCTGAATTAATTGGAGTGTTTTAATGGACTTATTGAGGCAACCTGATAATAAAGAGTTGCAGTAATCCAGCCTTGAAATAACAAATGCATGGATTAGTTTTTCTGCATCTGTCTGTGATAGTATGTGTCTAATTTTTGTAATATTACGTAAATGAAAGAAGGCAGTCCTAGAGGTCTGCTTCATGTGGGAATTAAAAGACAAATCCTGATCAAAGATAACTCCAATATTCCAATAACAGTGGTGCTAGAGGCCAAGGTAATGCCATCTAGAGTAACTATATCTTTAGACAGTGAGTCTCTAAGGTTTTTGGGGCCAAGAACAAGAATTTCATTTCTTTCTGAGTTCAAAAAAATCAGAAAATTGCAGCTCATCCAGGATTTGATGTCCTTAAGACATGTATGTAATTTAGATAATTGATTAATTTCATCGGGCTTGATCGATAGATATAACTGCGTATCATCTGCATAACAGTGAAAGTTAATGGAGTGATTCCTAATAATGTTGCCTAAAGGGAGCATATATAAAGTAAATAGTATTGGTCCAAGTACAGAACCTTGTGGAACTCCATGACTAACTGTAGTATTTATTGAAGATTCATCATTAACATGTACAAACTGCGAACAATCTGATAAATATGACTTAAACCAGCTTAGTGCGGTTCCTTTAATGCCAATTTGATGCTCAAGTCTCTGTAAAAGAATATTATGGTCAATGGTGTCAAATGCAGCTCTAAGATCTAATAATACAAGTACAGAGACAAGTCCATTGTCAGAAGCAGTCAGAAGGTCATTATTAACTTTAACCAGAGCTGTCTCTGTGCTGTGATGAACTCTAAATCCTGCCTGAAAATCCTCAAATAAACTATTGTTATGTAGAAAGTCACACAACTCTTTGGCGACTACTTTCTCCAGAATCTTAGAGAGGAAGGGGAGGTTAGAAATCGGTCTATAGTTGGCTAAAACCCCTGGGTCAAGAGTGGACTTTTTTAAGAAGGGGTTTAATTACAGCTACTTTAAAGGACTGTGGTACATATCCTGATAATAAAGAAAGATTAATCATATCCAGTAAAGAAGTGCCAATTAAGGGAACAACTTCTTTAAGCAGCCTAGTTGGGATCGGGTCTAATAGACAGGTTGATGGCTTCGATGAAGAAATGATTGAAGTTAACTGATGAAGATCGATAGCAGAAAAACAGTCTTAATATATATCTAAGTTTACATTGGCAGAAGTCCCTGAACTTGGAGAGCCACTGATAACTGTTGATGGCAGTTGGTGATTAATTTTCTCTCTAATAGTAATAATTTTGTTATAAAAGAAGCTCATGAAGTCATTGCTACTTAAGTTTATGGGGATATGTGGCTCAATAGAGCTGTGACTCTCTGTCAGCCTGGCTACAGTGCTGAAGAGGAACCTAGGGTTATTCTTATTTTCTTCTATTAGTGCTGAGTAATAGGCTCCTCTGGCATTACGGAGGGCCTTTCTATAGGTTTTAAGATTATCTTGCCAAATTGAGCGATATTCTGATAATTTGGAAGAGCGCCATTTCCTTTCAGATTTCGTAGCTATTTGTTTTAACTGGCGGGTTTGGTGGTTGTACCAAGGTGCTAGTTCCTATGTTTAAATAATTTCCTTTTTATAGGAGCGATAGAGTCTAATGTTGATCGTAGTGAGCCTGCAGCACTATCGACAAGATTATCAATTTCAGAGGGACTAAAGTCATTATAGGACTCTGTTAAATTCAGACATGGCATTGAATTAAACACTGAAGGAATCTCCTCCTTAAATTTAGCTACAGCACTGTCAGATAGACATCTGCTGTAGGAAGTTTTGCCTAATGGCTTATAATCTAATAGTATGAATTCAAAAGTTATTAAATAATGGTCAGATAGGAAAGGATCATGTGGGAAGACTATTAAATGTTCAATATCAATGCCATATGATAGAACAAGATCAAGAGTGTGATTAAAACAATGAGTTTGTTTATTTACACTCTGACAGAAGCCAATTGAGTCTATTAATGATATAAATGCATTACTAAGGCTGTCATTGTTAACATCCACATGAATATTAAAATCACCTACAATAATTACTTTATCTGATTTAAGGACTAAGCTTGATAGAAACTCTGAAAATTCAGATATAAAATCAGAGTACGGTCCAGGAGCGCGGTACACTATAACAAATAGAACTGGCTGCAGTGTTTTCCAGGATGGGTGAGAAAGACTAAGAACAAGGCTTTCAAATGAATTATAATTTAGTTTAGGTTTAGGGTCCATTAAAACGCTCGAATCATATATGGCTGCCACTCCACCTCCTCGGCCTGTGCCTCGAGGAATGTGAGTATTAATATGACTGGGGGGGGTGGATTCATTTAGGCTAACATACTCCTCGTGGGACAACCAGGTCTCAGTAAGACAAAGTAAATCAATATCATAATCTGATATTAATTCATTCACTAAAACAGCTTTAGAGGACAGAGACCTGATATTTAACAGTCCACATTTCATTCTCTTATTTTGTGCTACTGAGGAGTTGGTTTTAATTTTTATTAGATTTTTATGTTGAACTCCTCTTGTTTTTATTTCTTTAAATAGTTTAGGTGGTCGGGGGACAGACACAGTCTCTATGAGGTTTTGGGTGGGTGACTGTTCTAAAGAAAGCGCAGAGAAGTGTGTAAGACAGCAGCTCTGCTTCCTGGTCCCAACTCTGGACTGTCAGGTTTTAGAAATAAACTTCGCCATATTTCTAGATAAGAGAGCCGCTCCATCCAAAGTGGGATGGATGCCGTCTCTCCTAATCAGACCAGGTTTTCCCCAAAAAGGCTTCCAGTTATCAATGAAGCCCACATCGTTTGCTGGACACCACCTCGACAGCCAGCGGTGGAATGACGACATGCGTCTATACATGTGATCACTGGTCACATTGGGGAGGGGTCCAGAGAAAACTACGGTGTCCGACATTGTTTTAGCATAATTACACACCGACTCCACATTAATCTTAGTGACCTCCGATTGGCGTAAACGGGTGTCATTACCGCCGACGTGGATAACAATCTTACTGTATTTACGTTTATCTTTAGCCAGCAGTTCTAAATTTGATTCAATGTCGCCCGCTCTGGCCCCAGGGATGCATTTAACTATGGCCGCTGGCTTCACTAACTTCACATTTCTGACTATGGAGCTGCCAATAACCAGAGTGGGTTCCTCAGCGGGTGTATCGCTGAGTGGGGAAAATGTATTGGAAACATGAATGGGTTGGTGATGAACTGTGGGCTTCGGTGTTTTAGTCTTCCTTCGCTCAGTCACCTCCCTGTCTTCCCGGCTGCTCGGGAACTACCGGAGGAACTACCGGAGGAACTACAGAGCTAGCAGAAGCTACCTTCGGTTGGACCACACCGGCTACTGGGGGCTGGCTAACTATAGCGGCTAAAGATATCTCAGTGGTGCGGTACCATTCCTCTAACTCACTAAGCCTCGCCTCCAGCGCAGTAAATAAACTACACTTAATACAAGAACCATTATCATTAAAGGAGGCAGAGGAATAACTGAACATCTGACACACTGAGCAGGACAGAGCAGAGGGAGAGGGAGAAGCCATAGCTAACTGCTAATGCAGTGAGAGATACAGCGTATACTGATCAATATCATCAATTCTGATCAATAGAATTGATTGGTGGATCATTCACTGTCTGTGTGTGAGTGATGGCGTTACCATAGTAACTACTGGTTCTCTGCTTCCTGTGTGCCTGAGAGAGTCTCTGATTGGCTGTAGCTTGCTAGATATTGATCCTCATAGATATTCTTCTGGCATCAGCGAGCTCTCTGGTCGGATGTTCTTCATGTTCATCATCATCAGTCACTACTATTAGTGTAGTTGTTGCTACTGTTGTTGCTGTGCGTCTCTTTCGCTCTCTCACCCCAACTGGTCGAGACAGACGACCACCCACCTAGAGCCGGAGGATCTGTCCTAGGTTTCTGCCTTTTAACAGGCAGTTTTTCCTTGCCCTTGTCTCCAAGGTCTTGCTCATGGTGGTACTGTTGGGTCTCTGTAATTAATGTTAAAGAGTTCGGTCTAGACCTGCTCTATTTGAAAAGTGTCCTGAGATAACTTCTGTTATGAATTGGTGCTATACAAATAAAATTGAATTGAATTGAATGAGGTCTGATATGGTCTGATGTGTTTCTAATTGACCCTCTGTGTGTGTTTCTTCCTCAGTGTCTTCGGTGTCTCTGATATGAGCAGCTCTGTAAGTTTCTTCTTCCCTTAAACAGACGAGGCTGTGTAGCGATTTGTAAAAAGGAAGTTCAAAATAAAGTAGGTCTTCAGTATAATCAATAATAATAATAATAATAATGTGTGTTCAGGCTCAGAGGAAGAGGAGGACCACAGGAAGTCCTCTGGGTTCCAGATCCAGCACCAAGACCAGCAGAGGGGTTAACGCTAGGAGGACGGCTGTCACTAACAGAGCGGCTAACATTAGCAGGACGTCAGATGGTGACCCCGCCCCCCCCACAGAAACCATCGACGTGATGGACAACACTGAGGACAGTCAGTACAGATCAGTGCTCTCTGTTATTGATTAGCATGGTCTGATCTGATCAATAATCAATAACTGGTGTGTTCAGGTGTGGAGGAGGTGGTGGATCTGACCTGTGAGGGATCAGAGGCTCCTGTGGTCGACCTGACCAACAACGACTCAGTGCTGGTAACAAACATTAATCACACGCTAATAACAAACATTAATCACACGCTTATAACAAACATTAATAACAAACATTAATAATATACTAGTAACAAACATTAATAACATGCTAATAACAAACATTAATAATATACTAGTAACAAACATTAATAACACGCTAATAACAAACATTAATGATATACTAGTAACAAACATTATAATATACTAGTAACAAACATTAATAACAAACATTAATAATATACTAGTGACAAACATTAATAACACGCTAATAACAAACATTAATAATATACTAGTAACAAACATTAATAACACGCTAATAACAAACATGAATAATATACTAGTAACAAACATTAATAATATACTAGTAACAAACATTAATAACACGCTAATAAACATTAACAATATACTAGTAACAAACATTAATAACATGCTAATAACAAACATCAATAACATATACTAGTAACAAACATTAATAACATATACTAGTAACAAACATTAATAACATGCTAATAACAAACATCAATAACATATACTAGTAACAAACATTAATAATTTACTAGCAACAAACATTAATAACATGGTAGTAACAAACACTAGTAACAAACATTAACATACTGGTAACAAACATTAACATATACTGGTAACAAACATTAATAACACGCTAATAAACATTAACAATATACTAGTAACAAACATTAATGACATGCTAGTAACAAACATTAGTAACATATACTGGTAACAAACATTGACATGCTAGTAACAAACATTAGTAACATGCTAGTAACAAACATTAGTAACATGCTTGTAACAAACATTAATAACATATACTAGTAACAAACATTAACATGCTAGTAACAAACATTAATAACATACACTAGTAACACATTAACATGCTAGTAACAAACATTAACAACATATACTAGTAACAAACATTAATAACATACACTAGTAACAAACATTAACATGCTAGTAACAAACATTAATAACATATACTAGCAACAAACATTAATAACATACTAGTAACAAACATTAATAACATATACTAGTAACAAACATTAATAACATATACTAGTAACAAACATTAGTAACATACACTAGTAACAAACATTAATAACATACACTAGTAACAAACATTAACATGCTAGTAACAAACATTAATAACATATACTAGCAACAAACATTAATAACATACTAGTAACAAACATTAATAACATATACTAGTAACAAACATTAACATGCTAGTAACAAACATTAACATGCTAGTAACAAACATTAACATGCTAGTAACAAACATTAATAATATACTAGTAACAAACATTAATAACATACTAGTAACAAACATTAATAAACAATAACATACTAGTAACAAACATTAATAACATACTAGTAACAAACATTAACATGCTAGTAACAAACATTAATAACATGCTAGTAACAAACATTAACATACTAGTCACAAACATTAGTAACATATACTAGTAACAAACATTAGTAACATATACTAGTAACAAACATTAATAACATATACTAGTAACAAACATTAATAACATATACTAGTAACACACATTAATAACATATACTAGTAACACATTAACATGCTAGTAACAAACTAACATGCTAGTAACAAACATTAGTAACATATACTAGTAACAAACATTAGTAACATATACTAGTAACAAACATTAGTAACATATACTAGTAACAAACATTAATAACATATACTAGTAACGAACACTGGTAACAAACATTAATAACATACTAGTAACAAACATTAACATACTGGTAACAAACATTAATTCAATTCAATTCAATTTTATTTGTATAGCGCCAACTCATAACAGAAGTTATCTCAGGACACTTTTCAAATAGAGCAGGTCTAGACCGAACTCTTTAACATTAATTACAGAGACCCAACAGTACCACCATGAGCAAGCACTTGGCGACAAGGGCAAGGAAAAACTGCCTGTTAAAAGGCAGAAACCTAGGACAGATCCTCCGGCTCTAGGTGGGTGGTCGTCTGTCTCGACCAGTTGGGGTGAGAGAGAGAGAGAGAGAGAGCGACAGACAGACAGACAGGTGCACAGCAACAACAGTATTGGCAATGGCAGTCAAGCTGGACCATGGCAGGAGGCTCCACCAGGATCCATGAGAACCTGCGAGTATATAACATATACTAGTAACACATTAACATATACTAGTAACAAACATTAATAACATATACTAGTAACACATTAACATATACTAGTAACAAACATTAATAACATACTAGTAACAAACATTAATAACATACTAGTAACAAACATTAAAAAAAATAGTAACATATACTAGCAACAAACATTAGTAACATATACTAGCAACACATTAACATATACTAGTAACAAACATTAACATATACTAGTAACAAACATTAGTAACATATACTAGTAACAAACATTAATAACATATACTAGTAACAAACATTAATAACATATACTAGTAACAAACATTAGTAACATATACTAGCAACAAACATTAGTAACATATACAAGTAACACATTAACATATACTAGTAACAAACATTAACATATACTAGTAACAAACATTAGTAACATATACTAGTAACAAACATTAATAACATATACTAGTAACAAACATTAGTAACATATACTAGTAACAAACATTAATAACATATACTAGTAACACATTAACATATACTAGTAACAAACATTAACATACTAGTAACAAACATTAACATGCTAGTAACAAACATTAATAACATACTAGTAACAAACATTAATAACATATACTAGTAACAAACATTAACATACTAGTAACAAACATTAATAACATACTAGTAACAAACATTAGTAACATATACTAGTAACAAACATTAGTAACATATACTAGCAACAAACATTAGTAACATATACTAGTAACAAACATTAGTAACATATACTAGTAACAAACATTAATAACATATACTAGTAACAAACATTAATAACATATACTAGTAACACACATTAATAACATATACTAGTAACACATTAACATGCTAGTAACAAACTAACATGCTAGTAACAAACATTAGTAACATATACTAGTAACAAACATTAGTAACATATACTAGTAACAAACATTAATAACATATACTAGTAACGAACACTGGTAACAAACATTAATAACATACTAGTAACAAACATTAACATACTGGTAACAAACATTAATTCAATTCAATTCAATTTTATTTGTATAGCGCCAACTCATAACAGAAGTTATCTCAGGACACTTTTCAAATAGAGCAGGTCTAGACCCGAACTCTTTAACATTAATTACAGAGACCCAACAGTACCACCATGAGCAAGCACTTGGCGACAAGGGCAAGGAAAAACTTCCTGTTAAAAGGCATAAACCTAGGACAGATCCTCCGGCTCTAGGTGGGTGGTCGTCTGTCTCGACCAGTTGGGGTGAGAGAGAGAGAGAGAGAGAGAGAGAGAGAGCGACAGACAGACAGACAGGTGCACAGCAACAACAGTATTGGCAATGGCAGTCAAGCTGGACCATGGCAGGAGGCTCCACCAGGATCCATGAGAACCTGCGAGTATATAACATATACTAGTAACACATTAACATATACTAGTAACACATTAACATATACTAGTAACAAACATTAATAACATATACTAGTAACACATTAACATATACTAGTAACAAACATTAATAACATACTAGTAACAAACATTAATAACATACTAGTAACAAACATTAGTAACATATACTAGCAACAAACATTAGTAACATATACTAGCAACACATTAACATGCTAGTAACAAACATTAGTAACATATACTAGTAACAAACATTAATAACATATACTAGTAACACATTAACATATACTAGTAACAAACATTAACATATACTAGTAACAAACATTAACATGCTAGCAACAAACATTAATAACATATACTAGTAACAAACATTAGTAACATATACTAGTAACAAACATTAATAACATATACTAGTAACACATTAACATATACTAGTAACAAACATTAACATACTAGTAACAAACATTAACATGCTAGCAACAAACATTAATAACATATACTAGTAACACATTAACATATACTAGTAACAAACATTAATAACATATACTAGTAACAAACATTAATAACATATACTAGTAACAAACATTAATAACATATACTAGTAACAAACATTAATAACATATACTAGTAACAAACATTAATAACATATACTAGTAACAAACATTAATAACATATACTAGTAACACATTAACATATACTAGTAACAAACATTAATAACATATACTAGTAACAAACATTAATAACATATACTAGTAACAAACATTAATAACATGTACTAGTAACAAACATTAGTAACATATACTAGTAACAAACATTAACATGCTAGCAACAAACATTAATAACATATACTAGTAACAAACATTAATAACATATACTAGTAACACATTAACATATACTAGTAACAAACATTAATAACATATACTAGTAACACATTAACATATACTAGTAACAAACATTAATAACATATACTAGTAACACATTAACATGCTAGTAACAAACATTAATAACATACACTAGTAACAAACATTAACAGCATATACTAGTAACAAACATTAGTAACATATACTAGTAACAAACATTAACAGCATATACTAGTAACAAACATTAGTAACATATACTAGTAACAAACATTAGTAACATGCTAGTAACAAACATTAGTAACATACTAGTAACAAACATTAATAACATACTAGTAACAAACATTAACATGCTAGTAACAAACATTAATAACATACACTAGTAACAAACATTAGTAACATATACTAGTAACAAACATTAGTAACATGCTAGTAACAAACATTAGTAACATGCTAGTAACAAACATTAGTAACATGCTAGTAACATACATTAGTAACATACTAGTAACAAACATTAATAACATATACTAGTAACAAACATTAGTAACATATACTAGTAACAAACATTAGTAACATATACTAGTAACAAACATTAGTAACATGCTAGTAACAAACATTAGTAACATACTAGTAACAAACATTAGTAACATATACTAGTAACAAACATTAGTAACATATACTAGTAACAAACATTAGTAACATGCTAGTAACAAACATTAGTAACATGCTAGTAACAAACATTAGTAACATGCTAGTAACAAACATTAATAACATATACTAGTAACAAACATTAATAACATATACTAGTAACAAACATTAATAACATATACTAGTAACAAACATTAACAGCATATACTAGTAACAAACATTAATAGCATATACTTGTAACAAACATTAGTAACATACACTAGTAACAAACATTAGTAACATACTAGTAACAAACATTAGTAACATATACTAGTAACAAACATTAGTAACATATACTAGTAACAAGCATTAACAGCATATACTAGTAACAAACATTAGTAACATACTAGTAACAAACATTAGTAACATATACTAGTAACAAACATTAGTAACATACTAGTAACAAGCATTAACAGCATATACTAGTAACAAACATTAGTAACATACTAGTAACAAACATTAGTAACATATACTAGTAACAAACATTAGTAACATATACTAGTAACAAACATTAATTCAATTCAATTCAATTCAATTTTATTTGTATAGCGCCAATTCATAACAGAAGTTATCTCAGGACACTTTTCAAATAGAGCAGGTCTAGACCGAACTCTTTAACATTAATTACAGAGACCCAACAGTACCACCATGAGCAAGACCTTGGTGACAAGGGCAAGGAAACACTGCCTGTTAAAAGGCAGAAACCTAGGACAGATCCTCCGGCTCTAGGTTGGTGGTCGTAATAACATATACTAGTAACAAACATTAGTAACATGCTAGTAACATTAATAACACGCTAATAACAAACATTAGTAACATGCTAGTAACAAACATTAATAACATACTAGTAACATTAATAACACGCTAATAACAAACATTAGTAACATGCTAGTAACAAACATTAGTAACATGCTAGTAACAAACATTAGTAACATGCTAGTAACAAACATTAGTAACATGCTAGTTACAAACATTAGTAACATGCTAGTTACAAACATTAGTAACATACTAATAACAAACATAATACTAGTAACATTAATAACATGCTAATAACAAACATTAGTAACATGCTAGTAACAAACATTAATAACATACTAGTAACATTAATAACATGCTAATAACAAACATTAATAACATGCTAATAACAAACATTAATAACATGCTAATAACAAACATTAATAACACGCTAATAACAAACATTAATAACACGCTAGTAACAAACATTAATAACATGCTAGTAACAAACATTAGTAACATGCTAGTAACAAACATTAGTAACATGCTAGTTACAAACATTAGTAACATGCTAGTAACAAACATTAATAACATACTAATAACAAACATAATACTAGTAACATTAATAACACGCTAATAACAAACATTAATAACACGCTAATAACAAACATTAATAACACGCTAATAACAAACATTAATAATATACTAGTAACAAACATTAGTAACATGCTAGTAACATGTTAATAACAAACATTAATGACATGCTAACAACATGCTAATGTGTTTATTGAGATGTCTTCAGTTTTCAAACTGACTCTTCTTCTTGTTCTTTGCTGCTGCTGTTGTTGCTGTGACGTCCCAGCTGGTAGACGAAGGTAAAACTTTACTCACTTCAGGTTCAGTCATCATTCTTAAATAAAGTTTCACTAAGTAAAATGTGTGTGGTTGTCCTCCATCAGGTCCTCAGAACAGGAGAGTCACCACAGGGGAGAGTTACGTCGTCAGCAGTGATGAAGACGAGGACACGCCCCTGTCCTCAACGCTGCAGTCATATCGTCTCTACAGACCCACAGCTCCTCCAGGTAATAGACTGATCCATTGTTACTGTTACACAGGGCCGGCCCAAGCCTCCATGGGGCCCTAAGCAAAATTGGATTTTGGGGCCCTCTATTACTGCCAATGATAAGGATTATTGATCATTCACACACCTACTATAAACGTATTCTACTTATTCTACTCTGTCATTACGAATACACTTACTTAACTTAACTAAATGTGAGAACTTGAAAATGATGCAGCTTATTTTCTACAGCAATAGCTTGTAATAAGAAAACAAACTGCCAGTGGAACAACTGAAAATTGCTTGAGAAGTTTTGAAATAATATGGATTTGTCTAAAATCATGTACCTTGTCATATGATTATATCTTCTATCTTATATTAAAAAAATATTCATCTCAGGAAGTTCTGCAGTGCACTGAGCAATTAAAGGCTGTTTACAGCTGAGGTTGCAGAGAGGACAGTGGGCACAGTGGATGGAGCAGAGGATAGAGATGGACCTGAGATGAAAAACATGTCCCTTGTCATATGATTATATCTTATATTAGTATATCTTCATGAGATAATTTGACTAGAAATGAAATATATATGGTGACAGTGTTTGATCACCTGATTCATCAGCCTTGGCTGCTCCTGAGGAGGTGGATTGCCCCTGGGCTGAGTCAGTGCCTCCTCCTAAATACTTTAACAGTGCTCCTGGGGAAGTTTCATATAACGTATGAGCATCATAGGGAGTTGATGTAAAAGGAATATGTTTATTTACTCACATAAATGACTGTGCTCTGCAGCAAACGATAGCAAACAACATACCTCAAACTATAAGTTTACTAAATTAATTCATTAATGCAAAACCATATTGCTAGCAAACATCACCGCGTTTGTAATTAACGTTATTAAACATTTGCTATCAAACGTTCTTATCAAAAACGTTGTTTTGATGCCAAAAAGCGACCCAGAATAATATAAATACACTGAGAATCAATTTATTCAAAGTATTACACAAACACAACAACGTTAGCTTGAATAGTAAGCTATCTATCCTATATAATCCTATATCTAACCTATATAATCCTATATCTAACCTATATAATCCTATATCTAACCTATATCTAACCTATATAATCCTATATCTAACCTATATAATCCTATATCTATCCTATCTAATCCTATATCTATCCTATCTAATCCTATATCTATCCTATCTAATCCTATATCTATCCTATATCTAACCTATATAATCCTATATCTAACCTATATAATCCTATATCTAACCCATAAGAGAGAAGTAGTACGGCGAACTAATGTTAGCTAGCAAATTTGCTATTATAGGCTAACGTATTTGGAACAAAATATCAACAATAATTAGGGACTTTCCTAATTTCAGGGAACTTTTCAAAATCTCCTTGACACCAAATGTTACATTACCAATATACATATATAACATACCTTTATCTTGTTGTTTTTTCTCCTCTTCCTTTTTCTTTTTCTGCCCCTGAAGGTAACGTTAAGTCCTTTTTGTGACATCTTTCACCTGCTCCTGGGCTCCTGGATGCTCAGTGCGTACTGCACGGTTGGGTGCACTGCACACGTTACTAGCAGAGATCTGACATTTCGAGCAGAGAGGCAGTAGGAAACTCACACATGGAAAAAAATAATGAAATACTTTTTTCTTTCTTTTTCTTCTTAAGTTAATTGCTCTTGGGGGCCCCCTAGTGGTCACGGGGCCCCAAGCAGCTGCTTAGTTTGCTTATGCCTTGGGCCGGCCCTGCTGTTGCATCATCTCTAGTTAAGACTGATCCATTATTACCGTTACATCATCTCTAGTTAATAGACCGATCCACTGTTACCTTTAAATCAGCTCCAGGTAATAGACTGAGCCACTGCTATATATGTTAATGTGTAATGACAGCTGAGTCTGTTTGTGTGTTTCAGGTCAACTCCGGGGGACGATCAGCTGTCCTGTCTGTCTGGACTCGTACTCTGAGGTGAGACTCAAACACACCTGTTACACACCTGATACACACCTGTTACTCACCTGTTACTCACCTGTTACTCACCTGTTACACAGTCCTGTAACGTCAGGATCATAATTGATCAACGTCTTCATTTACTACACAAATAGAATCACAGTCAGATCTACTCTAATGATCGACCCCTGATGTTGATTTTATCTGTTGTTGTTGTTGTTGTTGGAGTACGATTACTGTCTGTGATTGGTTAGATTGTCTGCTGTTGCCTGTGAACAGCAGGTAGAATCCTGCTCTCTGATTGGCTGGTTGTGGTTACCTCCACAGATCGTCGAGAGCGGCCGATTGGTTGTTTCCACTAAATGTGGTCACGTGTTCTGCAGCCAGTGTCTGAGAGATGCTCTGACATCATCACACACCTGCCCTACCTGCAGGAAGAGACTGACCCACCGCCAGTACCACCCCCTCTACATCTGACATCACACTGACATCACAGGATGCTTTTGTACTCAGTGATCACTGATTGATTATTGATTAATGTATATTATTGATTATATTGATCTAGTTTGTTTTCTGCAGGTTGTTGTTTGTTTCTGATCGTTTCTGCAGCTGGATTTTATTTTTACTGTGGATGATCAATAAATTCTATTCATTCCTGTGGAACTGTGTTCTTGTTGTTCACTACAACAACAAACAACAACAAACAGCAGAGGGCTCTACTATGCAGTGAGCTAACTGTCTTATCCGGCTGAGTTCAGGTGAACTCATTCTACAACAGTTGGATCTTAACTGAGGTATGTTGTCATGGTGATTAAGGAGCAGGTTATCTTGGTTAACGTACCCCTATCAACCTGCTCTGCTCCGCCTGGAAGAATACTATACTGAACACTATTAATATATACATATACAGACTATATATTCAATTCAGTTTTATTTGTATAGCGCCAATTCATAACAGAAGTTATCTCAGGACACTTTTCAAATAGAGCAGGTCTAGACCAAACTCTTTAAAACATTAATTACAGAGACCCAACAGTACCACCATGAGCAAGACCTTGGAGACAAGGGCAAGGAAACACTGCCTGTTAAAAGGCAGAAACCTAGGACAGATCCTTCGGCTTTAGGTGGGTGGTCGTCTGTCTCGACCAGTTGGGGTGAGAGAGAGAGAGACAGATAGGCAGGTGCACAGCAACAACAGTATTGGCAATGGCAATCTAGCAGGACCATGGCAGGAGGCTCCACCAGGATCGACAAGGACCTGCGAGACGAGAAAGCACAAGAACTCCGGGGAAGAAGTGAAGTTAGTAACATGCATTAATGGGACATGAATGAGTGCAGAAAGAGAGAGGAAGAGAGGAGCTCAGTGCACCATGGGAAATCCCCGATAGTCTAGGCCTATAGCAGCATAACTAAGGGATGGTTCAGGACTCACCTGATCCAGCCCTAACTATAAGCTTTATCAAAGAGGAATGTCTTAAGCCTACTCTTGAATGTGGAGAGGGTGTCTGCCTCCCCGAACCACAACTGGAAGCTGGTTCCACAGGAGAGGAGCTTGGTAACTGAAGGCTCTGGCTCCTGTTCTACTTTTAGAGACTATAGGAACCACAAGTAGCCCAGCATTCAGAGAACGTAGTGTTCTAGAGGGGTAATAGGGTACTATGAGCTCTTTAAGATATGAAGGGGCCTGACCATGAAGAGCTTTATAGGTGAGGAGGAGGATTTTAAATTCTATTCTACATTTTACAGGGAGCCAATGCAGAGAAGCTAGTACAGGAGAGATGTGATCTCTTTTTCTAGTTCCTGTCAGTACTCGTGCTGCAGCGTTCTGAATTAATTGGAGCGTTTTAATGGACTTATTGGGGCAACCTGATAAAGAGTTGCAGTAATCCAGCCTTGAAGTAACAAATGCATGGATTAGTTTTTCTGCATCTGTCTGTGATAGTATGTGTCTAATTTTTCTAATATTACGTAGATGAAAGAAGGCAGTCCTAGAGGTCTGCTTTATGTGGGAGTTAAATGACAAATCCTGATCAAAGATAACTCCAAGATTCCTGACAGTGGTGCTAGAGGCCAAGTTAATGCCATCTAGAATAACTATATCTTTAGACAGTGAGTCTCTAAGGTTTTTGGGGCCAAGTACGAGAATTTCGTTTTTTGCTGAGTAACATCAGAAAATTGCAGCTCATCCAGGATTTTATGTCCTTAAGACATGTTTGTAATTTAGATAATTGATTAATTTCATCGGACTTGTGAACAGTGAAAGTTAATGGAGTGATTCCTAATAATGTTGCCTAAAGGGAGCATATATATAGTAAATAGTATTGGTCCAAGTACAGAACCTTGTGGAACTCCATGACTAACTGTAGTATTTATTGAAGATTCATCGTTAACATGTACAAATTGCGAACGATCTGATAAATATGACTTAAACCAGCTTAGGTGCGGTTCCTTTAATGCCAATTTGATGCTCAAGTCTCTGTAAAAGAATATTATGGTCAATGGTGTCAAATGCAGCTCTAAGATCTAATAATACAAGTACAGAGACAAGTCCATTGTCAGAAGCAGTCAGAAGGTCATTATTAACTTTAACCAGAGCTGTCTCTGTGCTATGATGAACTCTAAATCCTGACTGAAAATCCTCAAATAAACTATTGTTATGTAGAAAGTCACACAACTCTTTGGCGACTACTTTCTCCAGAATCTTAGAGAGGAAGGGGAGGTTAGAAATCGGTCTATAGTTGGCTAAAACCCCTGGGTCAAGAGTGGGCTTTTAAGAAGGGGTTTAATTACAGCTACTTTAAAGGACTGTGGTACATATTATGATAATAAAGAAAGATTAATCATATCCAGTAAAGAAGTGCCAATTAAGGGTACGACTTCTTCCAAGCAGCCTAGTTGGGATCGGGTCTAACAGACAGGTTGATGGCTTCGATGAAGAAATGATAGCAAGATCGATAGCAGAAAAACAGTCTAAATATATATCTAAGTTTACATTGACAGAAGTCCCTGAACTTGGAGAGCCACTGATAACTGTTGATGGCAGTTGGTGATTAATTTTTTCTCTAATAGTAATAATTTTATTATAGAAGAAGCTCATGAAGTCATTGCTACTTAAGTTTATGGGGATATGTGGCTCAATAGAGCTGTGACTCTCTGTCAGCCTGGCTACAGTGCTGAAGAGGAACCTAGGGTTATTCTTATTTTCTTCTATTAGTGCTGAGTAATAGGCTCCTCTGGCATTATGGAGGGCCTTTCTATAGGTTTTAAGATTATCTTGCCAAATTGAGCGATATTCTGATCATTTGAGCGCCATTTCCTTTCAGATGTCCTAGCTATTTGTTTTAACTGGCGGGTTTGGTGGTTGTACCATGGTGCTAGTCTCCTATGTTTTAATAATTTCCTTTTATAGGAGCGATAGAGTCTAATGTTGATCGTAGTGAGCCTGTAGCACTATCGACAAGATTATCAATTTCAGAGGGACTAAAGTCGTTATAGGACTCTGTTAAATTCAGACATGGCATTGAATTAAACACTGAAGGAATCTCCTCCTTAAATTTAGCTACAGCACTGTCAGATAGACATCTGCTGTAGGAAGTTTTGCCTAATGGCTTATAATCTAATAGTAGATATACAGATTATATACTGGACACTGTATTAATATATATATATAGACTATATACTGAACACTATATCAATATATATATATTGAGGTGATGTCCAGCAAACGATGTGGGCTTCATTGATAACTGGAAGCCTTTTGGGGAAAACCTGGTCTGATTAGGAGAGACGGCATCCATCCCACTTTGGATGGAGCAGCTCTCTTATCTAGAAATATGGCGAAGTTTATTTCTAAAACCTGACAGTCCAGAGTTAGGACCAGGAAGCAGAGCTGCTATCTTACACACTTCTCTGCGTTTTCTTTAGAACAGTCACCCACCCAAAACCCCATAGAGACTGTGTCTGTCCCCCCGACCACCTAAACTATTTAAAGAAATAAAAACAAGAGGAGTTCAACATAAAAATCTAATAAAAATTAAAACCAACTCCTCAGTAGCACAAAATAAGAGAATGAAATGTGGGCTGTTAAATATCAGGTCTCTGTCCTCTAAAGCTGTTTTAGTGAATGAATTAATATCAGATTATGATATTGATTTACTTTGTCTTACTGAGACCTGGTTGTCCCACGAGGAGTATGTTAGCCTAAATGAATCCACCCCCCCCAGTCATATTAATACTCACATTCCTCGAGGCACTGGCCGAGGAGGTGGAAGTAGCAGCTATATATGATTCGAGCGTTTTAATGGACCCTAAACCTAAACTAAATTATAATTCATTTGAAAGCCTTGTTCTTAGTCTTTCTCACCCAAACTGGAAAACACTGCAGCCAGTTCTATTTGTTATAGTGTACCGCGCTCCTGGACCGTACTCTGATTTTATATCTGAATTTTCAGAGTTTCTATCAAGCTTAGTCCTTAAATCAGATAAAGTAATTATTGTAGGTGATTTTAATATTCATGTGGATGTTGACAATGACAGCCTTAGTAATGCATTTATATCATTAATTCAATTCAATTTTATTTGTATAGCGCCAATTCATAACAGAAGTTATCTCAGGACACTTTTCAAATAGAGCAGGTCTAGACCGAACTCTTTAACATTAATTACAGAGACCCAACAGTACCACCATGAGCAAGCACTTGGCGACAAGGGCAAGGAAAAACTGCCTGTTAAAAGGCAGAAACCTGAGACAGATCCTCCGGCTCTAGGTGGGTGGTCGTCTGTCTCGACCAGTTGGGGTGAGAGAGAGAGAGAGAGAGAGAGAGAGAGAGAGAGAGAGAGAGAGAGAAGCGAGCGACAGACAGGCAGACAGGTGCACAGCAACAACAGTATTGGCAATGGTAGTCAAGCAGGACCATGGCAGGAGGCTCCACCAGGATCCACGAGAACCTGCGAGACGAGAAAGCACAAGAACTCCGGGGAAGAAGTGGAGTTAGTAACATGCATTAAAGGGACATGAATGAGTGCAGAAAGAGAGAGGAAGAGAGTAGCTCAGTGCACCATGGGAAATCCCCCGATAGTCTAGGCCTATAGCAGCATAACTAAGGGATGGTTCAGGACTCACCTGATCCAGCCCTAACTATAAGCTTTATCAAAGAGGAATGTCTTAAGCCTACTCTTGAATGTGGTGAGGGTGTCTGCCTCCCGAACCACAACTGGAAGCTGGTTCCACAGGAGAGGAGCTTGGTAACTGAAGGCTCTGGCTCCTGTTCTACTTTTAGAGACTATAGGAACCACAAGTAGCCCAGCATTCAGAGAACGTAGTGTTCTAGTGGGGTAATAGGGTACTATGAGCTCTTTTAAGATATGAAGGGGCCTGACCATGAAGAGCTTTATAGGTGAGGAGGAGTATTTTAAATTCAATTCTACATTTTATAGGGAGCCAATGCAGAGTAGCTAGTACAGGAGAGATGTGATCTCTTTTTTCTAGTTCCTGTCAGTACTCGTGCTGCAGCGTTCTGAATTAATTGGAGCGTTTTAATGGACTTATTGGGGCAACCTGATAATAAAGAGTTGCAGTAATCCAGCCTTGAAGTAACAAATGCATGGATTAGTTTTTCTGCATCTGTCTGTGATAGTATGTGTCTAATTTTTTCTAATATTACGTAAATGAAAGAAGGCAGTCCTAGAGGTCTGCTTTATGTGGGAGTTAAATGACAAATCCTGATCAAAGATAACTCCAAGATTCCTGACAGTGGTGCTAGAGGCCAAGTTAATGCCATCTAGAGTGACTATATCTTTAGACAATGAGTCTCTAAGGTTTTTTGGGGCCAAGAACAAGAATTTCGGTTTTTCTGAGTTTAACATCAGAAAATTGCAGGTCATCCAGGATTTTATGTCCTTAAGACATGTTTGTAATTTAGATAATTGATTAATTTCATTGGGTTTGATTGATAGATATAACTGCGTATCATCTGCATAACAGTGAAAGTTAATGGAGTGATTCCTAATAATGTTGCCTAAAGGGAGCATATATAAGTAAATAGTATTGGTCCAAGTACAGAACCTTGTGGAACTCCATGACTAACTTTAGTATTTATGGAGGATTCATCGTTAACATGTACAAACTGAGAACGATCTGATAAGTATGACTTAAACCAGGTTAGGGCAGTTCCTTTAATGCCAATTTGATGCTCAAGTCTCTGTAAAAGAATATCATGGTCAATGGTGTCAAATGCAGCACTAAGATCTAATAATACAAGTACAGAGACAAGTCCATTGTCAGAAGCAGTCAGAAGGTCATTATTAACTTTAACCAGAGCTGTCTCTGTGCTATGATGAACTCTAAATCCTGACTGAAAATCCTCAAATAAACTATTGTTATGTAGAAAGTCACACAACTCTTTGGCGACTACTTTCTCCAGAATCTTAGAGAGGAACGGGAGGTTAGAAATCGGTCTATAGTTGGCTAAAACCCCTGGGTCAAGAGTAGACTTTTAAGAAGGGGTTTAATTGCAGCTACTTTAAAGGACTGTGGTACATATCCTGATAATAAAGAAAGATTAATCATATCCAGTAAAGAAGTGCCAATTAAGGGAACAACTTCTTTAAGCAGCCTAGTTGGGATCGGGTCTAACAGACAGGTTGATGGCTTCGATGAAGAAATGATTGAAGTTAACTGATGAAGATCGATAGCAGAAAAACAGTCTAAATATACATCTAAGTTTACATTGACAGAAGTCCCTGAACTTGGAGAGCCACTGATAACTGTTGATGGCAGTTGGTGATTAATTTTTTCTCTAATAGTAATAATTTTATTATAGAAGAAGCTCATGAAGTCATTGCTACTTAAGTTTATGGGGATATGTGGCTCGATAGAGCTGTGACTCTCTGTCAGCCTGGCTACAGTGCTGAAGAGGAACCTAGGGTTATTCTTATTTTCTTCTATTAGTGCTGAGTAATAGGCTCCTCTGGCATTACGGAGGGCCTTTCTATAAATCTTAAGATCATCTTGCCAATTTGAGCGATATTCTGATAATTTGGAAGAGCGCCATTTCCTTTCAGATTTCCTAGCTATTTGTTTTAATTGGTGGGTTTGGTGGTTATACCAAGGTGCTAGTCTCCTATGTTTTAATAATTTCCTTTTTATAGGAGCGATAGAGTCTAATGTTGATCGTAGTGAGCCTGTAGCACTATCGACAAGATTATCAATTTCAGAGGGACTAAAGTTGTTATAGGACTCTGTTAAATTCAGACATGGCATTGAATTAAACACTGAAGGAATCTCCTCCTTAAATTTAGCTACAGCACTGTCAGATAGACATCTGCTGTAGGAAGTTTTGCCTAATGGCTTATAATCTAATAGTATGAATTCAAAAGTTACTAAATAATGGTCAGATAGGAAAGGATTATGTGGGAAGACTATTAAATGTTCAATATCAATGCCATATGATAAAACAAGGTCAAGAGTGTGATTAAAACAATGAGTTGGTTTATTTACACTCTGACAGAAGCCAATTGAGTCTATTAATGATATAAATGCATTACTAAGGCTGTCATTGTCAACATCCACATGAATATTAAAATCACCTACAATAATTACTTTATCTGATTTAAGGACTAAGCTTGATAGAAACTCTGAAAATTCAGATATAAAATCAGAGTACGGTCCAGGAGGCGCGGTACACTATAACAAATAGAACTGGCTGCAGTGTTTTCCAGTTTGGGTGAGAAAGACTAAGAACAAGGCTTTCAAATGAATTATAATTTAGTTTAGGTTTAGGGTCCATTAAAACGCTCGAATCATATATGGCTGCTACTCCACCTCCTCGGCCTGTGCCTCGAGGAATGTGAGTATTAATATGACTGGGGGGTGGATTCATTTAGGCTAACATACTCCTCGTGGGACAACCAGGTCTCAGTAAGACAAAGTAAATCAATATCATAATCTGATATTAATTCATTCACTAAAACAGCTTTAGAGGACAGAGACCTGATATTTAACAGCCCACATTTCATTCTCTTATTTTGTGCTACTGAGGAGTTGGTTTTAATTTTTATTAGATTTTTATGTTGAACTCCTCTTGTTTTTATTTCTTTAAATAGTTTAGGTGGTCGGGGGACAGACACAGTCTCTATGGGGTTTTGGGTGGGTGACTGTTCTAAAGAAAGCGCAGAGAAGTGTGTAAGACAGCAGCTCTGCTTCCTGGTCCTAACTCTGGACTGTCAGGTTTTAGAGATAAACTTCGCCATATTTCTAGATAAGAGAGCCGCTCCATCCAAAGTGGGATGGATGCCGCCTCTCCTAATCAGACCAGGTTTTCCCCAAAAAGGCTTCCAGTTATCAATGAAGCCCACATCGTTTGCTGGACACCACCTCGACAGCCAGCGGTGGAATGACGACATGCAGCTATACATGTCATCACTGGTCACATTGGGGAGGGGTCCAGAGAAAACTACGGTGTCCGACATTGTCTTAGCATAGTTACACACCGACTCCACATTAATCTTAGTGACCTCCGATTGGTGTAAACGGGTGTCGTTACCGCCGACGTGGATAACAATCTTACTGTATTTACGTTTATCTTTAGCCAGCAGTTTTAAATTTGATTCAATGTCGCCCGCTCTGGCCCCAGGGATGCATTTAACTATGGCCGCTGGCCTCGCTAACTTCACGTTTCTGACTATGGAGCTGCCAATAACCAGAGTTGGTTCCTCAGCGGGTGTATCGCTGAGTGGGGAAAATGTATTAGAAACGTGAATGGGTTGGTAATGACCTGTGGGCTTCGCCGTTCTAGTCTTCCTTCGCTCAGTCACCCAGCCTCCCTGTCTTCCCGGCTGCTCGGGAACTACCGGGGAACTACCGGAGGAACTACCGGGGAACTACCGGAGGAACTACCGGGGGATCTACAGAGCTAACAGAAGCTACCTTCGGTCGGACCGCACCGGCTACTGGGGGCTGGCTAACTATAGTGGCTAAAGATATCTCAGTGGTGCGGTACCGTTCCTCTAACTCACTAAGCCTCGCCTCCAGCGCAGTAAATAAACTACATTTAATACAGGTACCATTATCTTTAAAGGAGGCAGAGGAATAACTGAACATCTGACACACTGAGCAGGACAGAGCAGAGGGAGAGGGAGAAGCCATAGCTAACTGCTAATGCTAATGAAACTAGAGTGTATGAAAAACTTTGAAAGTAGTGAAAAGTCCCTAAAAGAGGGAGAAACTCGGAGTGTTTAAGTAGAACTAGTCTACGTTTAAATGTTAAGCGGGTAAATAACCGCTGTAACGAGTAAAACTAATTTATATTTAGCGTTCACTGACAGAGCTACAGCACCAAACAGTGTACACAGAGCAGGAAGTAAACCGGAAGTGAGTCAGTACGCTTACCGTAGCACGTCCAATCAATCACCTTGCTACTACCGAGGGTTCCCTCATTAATAGACTCAATTGGCTTCTGTCAGTGTAAATAAACCAACTCATTGTTTTAATCACACTCTTGACCTTGTTTTATCATATGGCATTGATATTGAACATTTAATAGTCTTCCCACATAATCCTTTCCTATCTGACCATTATTTAATAACTTTTGAATTCATACTATTAGATTATAAGCCATTAGGCAAAACTTCCTACAGCAGATGTCTATCTGACAGTGCTGTAGCTAAATTTAAGGAGGAGATTCCTTCAGTGTTTAATTCAATGCCATGTCTGAATTTAACAGAGTCCTATAACAACTTTAGTCCCTCTGAAATTGATAATCTTGTCGATAGTGCTACAGGCTCACTACGATCAACATTAGACTCTATCGCTCCTATAAAAGGAAATTATTAAAACATAGGAGACTAGCACCTTGGTATAACCACCAAACCCGCCAGTTAAAGCAAATAGCTAGGAAATCTGAAAGGAAATGGCGCTCTTCCAAATTATCAGAATATCGCTCAAATTGGCAAGATGATCTTAAGATTTATAGAAAGGCCCTCCGTAATGCCAGAGGAGCCTATTACTCAGCACTAATTGAAGAAAATAAGAACAACCTAGGTTCCTCTTCAGCACTGTAGCCAGGCTGACAGAGAGTCACAGCTCTATCGAGCCACATATCCCCATAAACTTAAGTAGCAATGACTTCATGAGCTTCTTCTATAATAAAATTATTACTATTAGAGAAAAAATTAATCACCAACTGCCATCAACGGTTATCAGTGGCTCTCCAAGTTCAGGGACTTCTGTCAATGTAAACTTAGATGTATATTTAGACTGTTTTTCTGCTATCGATCTTCATCAGTTAACTTCAATCATTTCTTCATCGAAGCCATCAACCTGTCTGTTAGACCCGATCCCAACTAGGCTGCTTAAAGAAGTTGTTCCCTTAATTGGCACTTCTTTACTGGATATGATTAATCTTTCTTTATTATCAGGATATGTACCACAGTCCTTTAAAGTAGCTGTAATTAAACCCCTTCTTAAAAAGTCTACTCTTGACCCAGGGGTTTTAGCCAACTATAGACCAATTTCTAACCTCCCCTTCCTCTCTAAGATTCTGGAGAAAGTAGTCGCCAAAGAGTTGTGTGACTTTCTACATAACAATAGTTTATTTGAGGATTTTCAGTCAGGATTTAGAGTTCATCATAGCACAGAGACAGCTCTGGTTAAAGTTAATAATGACCTTCTGACTGCTTCTGACAATGGACTTGTCTCTGTACTTGTATTATTAGATCTTAGTGCTGCATTTGACACCATTGACCATGATATTCTTTTACAGAGACTTGAGCATCAAATTGGCATTAAAGGAACTGCCCTAACCTGGTTTAAGTCATACTTATCAGATCGTTCTCAGTTTGTACATGTTAACGATGAATCCTCCATAAATACTAAAGTTAGTCATGGAGTTCCACAAGGTTCTGTACTTGGACCAATACTATTTACTTTATATATGCTCCCTTTAGGCAACATTATTAGGAATCACTCCATTAACTTTCACTGTTATGCAGATGATACGCAGTTATATCTATCAATCAAACCCAATGAAATTAATCAATTATCTAAATTACAAACATGTCTTAAGGACATAAAATCCTGGATGACCTGCAATTTTCTGATGTTAAACTCAGAAAAAACCGAAATTCTTGTTCTTGGCCCCAAAAACCTTAGAGACTCATTGTCTAAAGATATAGTCACTCTAGATGGCATTAACTTGGCCTCTAGCACCACTGTCAGGAATCTTGGAGTTATCTTTGATCAGGATTTGTCATTTAACTCCCACATAAAGCAGACCTCTAGGACTGCCTTCTTTCATTTACGTAATATTAGAAAAATTAGACACATCCTATCACAGACAGATGCAGAAAAACTAATCCATGCATTTGTTACTTCAAGGCTGGATTACTGCAACTCTTTATTATCAGGTTGCCCCAATAAGTCCATTAAAACACTCCAATTAATTCAGAACGCTGCAGCACGAGTACTGACAGGAACTAGAAAAAGAGATCACATCTCTCCTGTACTAGCTACTCTGCATTGGCTCCCTGTAAAATGTAGAATTGAATTTAAAATACTCCTCCTCACCTATAAAGCTCTTCATGGTCAGGCCCCTTCATATCTTAAAGAGCTCATAGTACCCTATTACCCCACTAGAACACTACGTTCTCTCGAATGCTGGGCTACTTGTGGTTCCTATAGTCTCTAAAAGTAGAACAGGAGCCAGAGCCTTCAGTTACCAAGCTCCTCTCCTGTGGAACCAGCTTCCAGTTGTGGTTCGGGAGGCAGACACCCTCACCACATTCAAGAGTAGGCTTAAGACATTCCTCTTTGATAAAGCTTATAGTTAGGGCTGGATCAGGTGAGTCCTGAACCATCCCTTAGTTATGCTGCTATAGGCCTAGACTATCGGGGGATTTCCCATGGTGCACTGAGCTACTCTCTTCCTCTCTCTTTCTGCACTCATTCATGTCCCTTTAATGCATGTTACTAACTCCACTTCTTCCCGGAGTTCTTGTGCTTTCTCGTCTCGCAGGTTCTCGTGGATCCTGGTGGAGCCTCCTGCCATGGTCCTGCTTGACTGCCATTGCCAATACTGTTGTTGCTGTGCACCTGTCTGTCTGTCTGTCGCTCTCTCTCTCTCTCTCTCTCTCCCCCAACTGGTCGAGACAGACGACCACCCACCTAGAGCCGGAGGATCTGTCCTAGGTTTCTGCCTTTTAACAGGCAGTTTTTCCTTGCCCTTGTCGCCAAGTGCTTGCTCATGGTGGTACTGTTGGGTCTCTGTAATTAATGTTAAAGAGTTCGGTCTAGACCTGCTCTATTTGAAAAGTGTCCTGAGATAACTTCTGTTATGAATTGGCGCTATACAAATAAAATTGA